ACAGAGCGTTCTGGAAGGTTCCGGTTTTGTTTGGGATACCACTCGTTGTTTGGTCTGAACATGTGTGTGTTTGTGTGTTTGTACGGAATTGTGTTTTTGTGTGGTTGCTTCTGTTGGTGTACTTGTTGATTGTCTGGTTCTCTGTTCAGCTCGTGTGTTTCAATAGTTTTCCCGTTGAGGAAGCCAATATGAGATGATGGGCGCATGTTTTTGTGTTTTTTTTTCAGGCCCGTATGTTGCATGTTTGTTTTCTTTGGACCCAGGGGTTTGTCCTGGGTGGAGATTCTGCGGAAGAGTGCCGAACGTGCCCCTGAGATGAATCCCAGGTGTTCCTCCATGACTTTTTTTTGACGTCTCAGAAACATGACAATGGGGGGGGGGGCTTGTTTTTAGTTCCAAACTCCCAGTAGCTTTGCCCATAGCCACCGATGAACCACAAACCACCAGTGCTTCAACCTAAGTTTAGCACCTCTGGAATTCAAAGCGTGGCTTTGGTTTGCCTCAAGCAAATAGTGTTTGGGGAATCACCTGGGCATGCCAGATGTTTCTTGAGTGTGCTTGGTGTGCCCGAGTGGCCATTGCCTCAATAAATGCAAAAGCCCATCTTCAACTGCAGCCCGCCGGTCAGTCGCATCAGCATGGCTGCTCTGGCCATGGCTGCGCTATCCGCATCCGAGGTCTTCCTCACCTCCGACTGGAAGCAGGTTCTCACGGGGTATGAGGTGGCCATTGACACTCAGGCGGGCCCTGGCCCGACGGACCACGCACAAAAGTGCTCCCCTGTCCAGCGTTTGGACTGTCGCTATGGTACGTAGGTAAGCCCCTTTACGGCAGGGATGAGTGTGAAGTGCACCTGTACACATGCACAGTGCAACGGACAACGGCAACAGTCAATATTTGCGTTCATGCGCTGCAGCAAAGGGAACGGGTTGGCCACAGTGTCTTAGTCGCGCTGGATCATTGGGTGGCGTTGTGTTCACTTTTTGGGTGGCCTAAGACGAAGAGGCCCCAAAAGAAGGGCGAAGGAAAACCATACACATATTGCTTGGGGGAACTTGCGTTTTTGCCAGCTGGGCCAGGGCTGCGTATTGGAAAGCCATTGCTTGTCTTGCTTCCAATGGCAAGCCGGTCTTTCACCTTCGGGTATCCCACTTTTGGCTATCAGTTTAAGCCAGACGGCTAAGCTTTCACATGTTGAGAAATGGTTTGTGGTTTGGTTTTTTCCGGGCCTTTAGGTCAAGTGAGTTGCGTCTGTCGGGGCGTTTCTACTGGCAGGGCCTGCTGCGCGGCCCCTGGGGCGCTGTGATTGCGGCCGCGGTGCGCGTGGAGCACGTGGATGGATGGCAGGCAGATTCTGAAGAGACGGGACCAACGGGGCGACGGGCGGGGCGTGTCATTCTGTTTCAACGGGGCTGCCCAGGAAAATGGGTTGAACCACACTCGAGACTAGCGAATGAACACCGAAGGAACCAAAAAGTGGCCCAAAGATGCTTGCGTTTCCGTTGCAGGTTGCTTTAAACATGACTGCGCAAATTATGGCGAGCTCACTGGTAGGGGGAGCGAGAATTCCTCATGCTGAAGGCGCCTTCAAGGATTCTCAAAGTTGGCGTGATCAGGTCCCCGATCAGCTGGCTTTGAAGATTCCTGAAGGAAATCCAAGGTGCATTGGCATGTTTGTTTCTTTGATGCCCAATTGTTGCCACCCGGCCAGGTTGAGGGGGGCCTAGCACGATGCATTGCAGAAATGCCAGCAACATAAGTCTGAGACATCGGCCCACATTTGCATGTGCCCTTTTTGGGGCAAGGACATGTGGTAGTTGAGAGCCTCCGCTGTACTGCGCCCATCGAGAAGGACCTCCTGCAAAAAGCAGACATCGCAATGAAGCTATGCAGGGTAGTGGCCATGTGACTGGATAAGGCGTGGCTGTGGCACTAGCAGGCTTTGCACTGAAGCATGCTAAGCCTGGTGATGGCACTCCAACATTTGTAGAAACCATCCCTGCACTCCATGGCGGCACCCTGCGAAAGGAGCCAACATGCATTTGACATGTCATGCCTTTTGCTTGCATCCTTGCGGTTTTTTTGGGGTGGGGATTCCCATACTGCTGAGGCATCAAACATACTAGCTTCTGCACATCTTATCCATTGACATCCAATCAACCTAGACCTGCCACTGTTCCCCCCCCAGCGAGCTTGCCATTGGCAAACCTGGACAAGAGCTTGGTTGGTTCACACGCGTTCTTTTCAAGCAAGTGGTGCCCCGTTCGGCGCCCGAAAACTCCATGGATTCGTTACTCAGGGCCGCTTCAGTGGGCCCCCGGTGGGTATGGTGATCGACCACCTCATCGCTACCTACCCTCAGTACGTGCCCAACGCTGAGCGCACGGAGCAGGCCTGCAAGGCCGCGCTGTGAGGACTGGGTTGGAACGCATGGGTAGGACCTGCAAAATGCAACAGAGGCTTTAGCCAGGGAATCAGAACGATCTGCCTAGTTTTGCTGCGAGGCTTTCAGAGGAGGAGTCCCTGCAACGCAGCGCTGTTGAATGATTCATCCAGCTCGCGCGATGGAAAACCGACGCAAACCTTGTCCACTGCCGTTTCAGGGCAAAGGGGATAAATACTATACACAAGCTGCAGATGTTGTTTAATTGCTTGAAGGTCGGCTGGCAGTAGATTCAGGAAAGTGCAGGTTAGTGAAGCACGTTTTAGGTCGCCTTTAGGGTATGTGCAACCAGGCAGCAGCATAGAACGATCAACCTTTAACGGTATGCTGAGAGCAGTATTTCCCAAACAAGGATTAGTCTATTAGTCGTCAGATGTTGGGCCGGTTGCAATTGGCCGCCGGGATGCTGCTTTATTCGCATTAGACGTGCCCGTTTCTGAAGTGTTGCTCCCTATTTTTTGGCACCCTCAGTGTGCAAGTTTGGGGTTGGACACCCTGTGCATTGCGTTGGGTCCGCGGACCTCCGGACTCAGGAGAAGGGAAGGGTTCAACCAGTGAGGCGCAGCTTCCAAGAAGCTGTATGCTTGCAATGAGCTGAGTCATGTTTTGGGGTGCTCCTCATCTCACATGCTTTCTTCTTTAGATGTGCTTTCATTGATTCAGTTGTGGTCGGTATATTCAACAGTGTGTCAATGAACTGATGGGAGGGGCAGCCCACACTTGTTTCACACGCCTCTCATCGCATCGGGCCTGTGCCGTATACTCTGCGGGCTTGGTGGAGGTGGCATCTGCGCGAGCATCAAAGTCAACACTTTGGATGTGACTAACTGTTTGAGGCAAGTATCATAGGTGTCACTGTTTGCCAAATTGGTAGAGAGTTTCAGCCTCTCGGGGGGTCAAAGCTCGTCAATTCGCAACTGTACCGCATTCCGACCACAGCAACAGTGAGATTTGTGCCTCTCCGCTATGAGAGTGTGCCTTGACTCAAGGCCTTGACCTTCTGGGTTTCTTTGCCGTCCCTTGAAGGGAAGGGTGGCCCACGACTTTGACCCACGAATTGCGCAAGACTCTTTAGCTGGCGCGGGACACATGACAGCGCGCCATTCTGAGCGAGAGGTGATCCGGGTTGGAACTAATGTGTTTCTACTTTGCTGCTCAGGAGGTATGTGTAAGTTTCATCTTTTGAATGCACTGGCCAGGTATTTGGTGTAAGCCTTTGCTGAGCACACACTGTGTTTCAACAAAGGGTATCAAGGCCTCTTCGTCTTTCTTTGTTCATCCACTTTGCAGTTGACTCGGCAAGGGCGGTTGGCTTGAGACTGGAGGCATTAGGAGCCAACCTCGGCACCCCAATGGCAATGGGAACACATTTGCGCCGGTTTTTCGCGCGAAGAAAAAGCAAGCCATTCGCAGGGCGCCCCTTTGAGTGTAGGACCAGCAAACAGTGTTTGCCCAATGGCTTGGTGCAAGTCCTGGCTTGGTGACCTAAGCCGCTTGCAAGTAAATGCGTCTAGTCAAACAACCGGACTTTGGAGCTTGATGTTTGCGCCAATTCCCCAGCTGTTTGTCTGAAACATACGCATGCCATTCAGTGCCCGCCAACTTTTCTGTTTCTCCCGCAAAAGGAACTCTTCCCAAGGAAAAGGAAACTGATCCACCGGTATATCTACGCTCATTCCTTGCAGAGGTCGGCCAGCAAGCTTCACTCTTCGCTAGCTGTTTGCCATCGGTTGCACACCTCCCTCGTCAGGTAAATCGGTTTGTTATGCAGCTTGGCAGCGGTCCCCCCTTTTTGTTTGCCCTATCCGCTATGGAATCTCTGCAGGTGGAGCAGAACCGAATCAAGCTGGTCAGACGAGGTCTTCACATCTTCCAGCTGCCCGCATCGAGCCTCGGCCTGTGCTGAGTCGGCGTCGCATGCATCAATGTGTCTTGCTTAGTTTCGCATGTGGTTTCAGTGTTATACAATTGTGACTGGGCCGTACAATAGTGCACGATCAGCAAAACATGATGTTTATTTGGCATTCTCTTCAAGTCGTCCGGCAAGTAGTTCACGGTCAGCTCGCAGCAAGGTCTAAGTCAAAGCTGCAGCCCGGGAATTACACTACTTCCGTTCTGTGCTGAGAAAGGATCAACATTGCGACGACTTGCAACAAAGTCCAACAACCTTTCCAAGCAGGAGTCGGCCTGGGCTTTGCACAGCCAGAGCTGGTCACTGGAAAGTCGGGATTTTGGGAGCTTGAAGACATTAGGGGTTCATATCATGGCAATCACAGAATTTAGCAACGAGTTGTTTCTGACTGCATTGTGACCCTTGCGTGTGGATACAGCATTTTAGGCGTCACATTCTGTGATGCCAATATATTGGAGTTTCAAGTTGCAATACCCTTTTGTTGGTGGTTAAAGGGACGCCAAAAGGACAGGACACCAACCATTTAGGAAACCCCTATTTGGAGAGTCATCCTGACAAGGTCATGGAGAAGGCCCAATGACAGAGAGGGTCAATCCAGGTTCGGATCAGGAGTGAGGCGTCAACACGGCACATTGTTAAGGCCGAATGGCTACTGCTGGTGGGGGCGCTTGCAAGTTCGCACCCCTGTTCCGGGATGCGCTTCGTGCCTCCCGGCGGGTTTTGGAAGCTAGCGCCCTTCCGGCGGTTTCATTTGTGTCCAGTCGTTTTTGAGCCTGAGCTGAGGTCAGTGTTCTTGCAGGGTACGTATCCATGCGGTTGGGAGGCCTTGACGAACTTTGGACAGAGAAAGGAGATTAGCGAAAGCGAAGTAGGGCTGAACAAGGCTCAATGAATTGAGTCATGACCGCAGCTATTTGGACGATTGAAGGTGCGATTTGTTCAGGGCTCTTTGTTGCGTTTGCCTTGCTTCCAAACTTGGCATCGCTCCCACAGTGCGCTTGTCATCATAGAATCCCATTCTTCCAAAAGCAGTCCTGAGGCCCGCTTTCTCATTTTCTTCATGAATGTCAATTTGTTTGTCGATTTCGTTTTGGAATCTTGGCAGGGGTCAGGCTGTGGGCTTCCTGGATTCCTGGATTGCGCGGGAATGTTTGCTGCTGGAATTGGGGGGTGACCCCTGGAATTCCGTTTATAGTTCCTTTGTCCCTTTGCTGGGAAGACTATGCCATGCAAGTGGAATTGGGGACCCGCCCGCCCCTTCCCCCTCTACCAAAAGGGGGATGCACCATGTGCCAATTGGGAACCGACCAGCGCAATCAGAGTGGAGATGAGCTGAGTTCTTGCTCGAAAGCCATCCACATCCTTTCAAGCTAGCAGGGGCTCTCCCTTCAAGAACGATCTGCTGCCAAGGAGGACTACCCTGGGCTATCAAATTGAGGTTTCCATTTGGAGCCACCACAAAAAGGAGGTAACCTCCAAAAACAAACAGCCCCAGCTGAGCTACAGTCCTGGTGAAACTGTAAATGTGACATGCTGGGTCGGCCTTAAAACATGGTGTTCTAAGGAAAGAACCTTCTGCGAAGGGAAACCCAGGCGCCTCCCTGCTGGTGCGTCAAGTGGATACACACCTGCTGGAGATATCCAATTGAATTTGTTCGATTCAAATGATCCAACAAGCCCATTAGATTGACAGGATCCCTTTGTGCGTGCGCGTGCGTGTTCATGCATATCTCTCATGGACACAAAGCTGAGCAAGTTCGTATTTCGGCAACGCATGCTGTTGTGTCTGAGTGGGTCACTCAGCAACCAGGCCATGAACATGTCTTAGCGAGGGGAGCCTACCCCTGCGGGCCAACTTACACTTGTTTGCTATCTATACTATATATATATATATTATTATATGTGTGTGTATTATAGATCATATATATATATACATGGGGCCCTTGTATGGGTTACACATGGGGGCACCACTGAAATGGTTGGTTTTATTTGGATTTCCCCTTGAGACTCCCAAAAGGGCCTCCCTCCAAGAAAAAGAAAGAGAGGAAGAAAGAACATGAAAAAACATGAAAGGCACGGAGCTCCCAAACATCCAGTTGCAGCATCGGATCTCGAGCGAGGTGGAGCTGGAGCCGGTGAGGGAGATGCGCGCCATGGTGGATGGCTTGCTGGTGCTGGCGCCCCCTTCCTCCACAGGCGACTCGCAGCCTTTTTTTTTTTTGCTTGGGCGTTGAACCCTCTTGGCACACTCCCACTCACCAACATGGAAGCTGACGTTTTGAAGGCCAGTTTCCTCTCAAGTTGAGTTTCTGGTGGGTTCCATGTTGGTGGGAGGGAAAGTAGATTACAAGATATAATCACGGCATGAGTGAGACGATGGCTTAGTCGCATTCCCTGGTTCGTTGCAGCCTACTTACCAAACATCCAAGCAAGCCAGAGGTCCCATCGTGTGAATCTCCAGGAATGCATCCCTGCCATCGGGGACAAAGTTGGTTTCTCGCGATGAGTGGTCATGGCTGATGCTCATTGGCTTGGGGAAGGTTTCAAAATTGAGCTGAAAGCAACTTGGGTATCCCGCAATCGGGGACCTCCTTGAGGGTGGTGCGAACTTTCGGGGCACCAAAAGGCTGCCCGCGATTTGGACAGCTCATGTGATGATGTTTCGTTGTGAAACCTTAAGTCCGATGCAGCAGCTTCAACTTGTCGCGTTGGCCTGCACGTTCTAACTCGCTACGGTCAACCTATTTGAGGCAATGCCCGATGTTTGAAGCCCCGGTGAACGAGGAATCCAGCGTGGAATCACAAAGCCGCTTTGGGCAGCTGCGCTTGGTTTACTTCACCCCATGGATGGGTTTCGCGGGGCGGCCAGGCATGGACAGCACTGGAGGAACAGATCAGTGCTTCCAGCAGGATATCTTCACCATCAACGAGGCTCGCAGAAATGGAAAGCGCAAAGAGTCACAGCATTAATTATGATCCTCTTGAAAAAGCCCTTAGTTCGCTTCCAATATTTTCCCCAACAGCATCCAGCTGTGGGGTGCTCAATTCTATTGCCTGGAATCCATTTTTCCGCCGGTGTTGACTGGGCGGTGTCCCGGTGGTGTCCAGTGGTTGCCCGCGTGACGCTGGGGGTGAGCCTTGCGTACCCCATGCTGGCCTCCGTTTTCAGAAGGTGCTATTTAGTTGGATTATATGTTAAAACGTAGAGAAACTTACTTTCGTTCAGTTTCACAGGAGCAGGGGGTTCAAAACCAATTTGCTTGAAATTGAAGGGGGTGGTTACTCCGAGCACCCCACACCATAAGACCGCGCCAGTGTTTTTCGTAAGTGCAGGTGGTGTGGGTGAGCGCGTAGGCTATCACTGTGCTACTTGTACTGTGATCACGTGAGCTCGCAAAAGCACCTCGGTGAAAGATTACCTTGCGATTGGAAGGCGGGGCTTTTGAACGCCGCCCATGGTGACACCCATGCCCGCGACGCACAGTGAGCTGTGAGATGGCAGGATGGGACTACAGCGAGCCGGCCCTGGCCAGACCCGCTGTTTCCACTCATCTTGGTGATCATGGGCTCCCCGGCGTGGTTCAGGCAACGGTGGCAGCCCTTTTTAGACTGACTGCACTAGGGCCACCGTTTTGTTGAGCGCAGTTTGGGAGGCTTTTCAATTGATCCCGGAAATGGTGGCACAAGGGCCACCTGGCTGGGCCCTTTTGCCTGGGCCGTTCCTCCCTAGGCCATTGGCATTTTACACATACCTCGACCCAGTTGGGAAACGGACAATGGCCAGACTTTTCTGCCAGAGTCACTGATTGCAGCTGGTAGCTAGCCATTTCCGGGGTTTGGAGACAAACCCATGGCCTCACTTTGTGGAGATTTGATTCTGCATGTTTCTCCCCTTTGTTGAGGAAGGGCATCCTGTGCCTAGACAGGACGTTGTAAATCATGGAGTTGGTGAGCCTGACTGTAGAAACCACACGAGCTGGGGTGTATCGGTCGAGAGCCATTCACAGAAGTTCCGGTGTGTTCGGGGATCTTACGTTTCCGGTTTGTTAATCACCACGGGACGGCAGAAGTGGTTGACATGCCGGTCAAAGGTCTACGCATTCTAGGCGTAGCTGCGCACCATGCAAAATCTTTGGGCTGGTGAGGCCAGCGGCCAACTCTTTTTGAGGACAGTTTGCATGCTTGAATGCCCAGAACTTTTGAGGACTCATTGAAACAGGGTTTGCGAAAAGGTGCTGCCTTTTCCGTTTCGGCCTAGTTTCAGGTTGGTCAATGGGGACGTTGGGTTGTGGACTTCTTGGGTGTGTTTCACTCTGTCCCAGACAAAGGGTTCCACCACCAATTTGCTACATGTGGCGAGGATTTCAGCAGGCCACCTTCATTCATAAGCCCCTGGCTTCTACTTCTGAATCCCCAAGTATTTTTTCGGGGGCCTTTCAAAACGTCTCAAGTAAGGCTGAACGCAAGACAAAGGAGAACGGTCATGCTTCCCTTCCTCCGTACTACATCCCTCACGCGTGGCGATTCCCATGCTCAGATAGACGCGCAAGGGGAGCTTCTAGGCATCCAGTGGGCCCCAGGCACCGGCGTTTCGATTCTGCGCGTGGACTCCGGCGCGCCGGGGGACTTTGTGCGAGTGGGCGGCACCGCCTGCGGCGGAGGCGCGAACTCATTCAGAGGGAGGGCTGGCGGGTTTTGAGGCAACCCTGGGGCTAGGTTCAACGGGAAACCAAGATGAAAACCGAAGCCCATGTTGGGGGTTCAACCAATCGCTACTTTGATCAGTTTTGAGACATACTCAAATGAATGCCCATCAAGGATTACATTGAAGATAGATGGTGCCACACATTGTGCTTTTGCAACAGCTTGTTGCCAGTTCAAGCCATTTCATGGAACTTCTTATGTACTACCTGTTGTGGAGCATGTGTGCAAAACCTGCACCTGATTGTCAATCTTTGGCGCGGCAAAGCCATGAAACAGGCATCCACAGCGCAGTTCCTTTGCCGCTGGCCTCTCAAAGGGTTCCAGGATCCCTGTACAAATGCAACCAATTGGGAGGTTCGAGCATGCTCAGGCCCCAATTCAAAGCACCGGCTGGCGACTGAGCCTTCTAAAGCACGTGTGCGCTCGGCACCCTGTCCCTCGCAGTTGACAAGCTTTCCGTTGCCCTGATGGGGGTGGCTCACAGTTCAGGCAAGTTTCTTCTGGTGATAATTAAATTAGAGGGACATGCAAGGAGCTTGTGGGCTCAGTTGCGAGTAGTCCTTTTCAGACTGCCTCATTGGGTAAGTACATGCCTAATAGGTGTAGGTTTCCCCGCAGAGGTATGCCAAGCTTCACCTGAAAATGGGAGGGTCCAAAAGAGCAACCCTGTGACATTCCCACCGTTCGGTCAACATCTTGGCTCAGCCAATTTCAAACACAAAAAGCTAGGGGCCTACAGATTGCATGATCACCCCCGCCCATTTTGGTTTCGTCAGCTCTTTGCTTTCCGGGAAATTGAAAGCCATCTTCCTTCACCCTGTAGCAGTTGCCACTCTATAAAAAACAGGGCTCCTTAGGTCTAGGCTTTAGATGATGTGCCTGGTTACTTACGCCCACCATGTATCACGGGGACCCGGTGACATGGCCAAAACCAGGACACCTTTTTCCTCAGGTTTCATGTTAATTGGGAGGGTACTGGGTACTCAGCTTGGAGCAAGCCAGCAACTGTGTGTGTCTTTTCTTCGGGGACCCCTAAACGATGTGTTTTCCTTGTAGCTCAACTTCGGGAACAAAAAAGGGCACCTGACACCATCAAACTACTCTTAAAAGTAGGAATTCACCCTCCAATTTTGGGGCAATATCCAATGCTGTAAGGTAGGATCCAGGTACCCTCAAAGAACAATCCTTGGTGGTTCCCAGCAATCCCCTTAGCTTTATAGTTTTTAGTCTTTAGAGGTAGTTTCCGTTTAACCCGCTAAAACTTAAACTTTTATCGGGGGATCTGACTGAGCCCAGAAATGAAAGACCCAATTCTCCGACTTCGAGGCACCTTCTTGGGCCTGGCGCGGCTCTTGACCTCTGCCACCAGCTTCGAGCAAGCCCTGGACATGGCGGCGGAGGGCAACGCCTCCAACGCCGCGGCTCAAATCCGAGAAACGGGGAGACGGGGTGGAGGTAAGAGATACTGTGGATAGTGGGCGGACAAAGTCATGCAGTTGGGAGGTGGTTAGGTTTGGAAGTAATATTGAGGATGCCAATGAGCCGACAAAATCCTGGAGTTGGTACTGTAGGTGGTTTCTTTTCAGCATGAATAGGGGTTTCATTCCATCCCAACTGGTGCAGGATGTTGCTCGGACTGAATGGTTGGAACCGGTGTTCCTCCAAGATTGTTTGAGGCAATTCGCTTGCAACCGGTACCCCACAACCCAGTTCTAATTTTGTAGGCAGCTCGGCCCTGGTAGCCTCCGGCAAGAAGTTGGTACTGATATGCTCCCCTTTCATTCGATTTTCCATGGGTCTTGGGAAGACTCTTTGAACCCAGCCGATTGGCCAATGGGGAGCCCCATGCTTTCCTGCAGAAAACGTGGGCCCTGCCTGGCATGGACCTATTCAGCCTGGAGGTGCCATATGATGTTGGTTCACTTCGACCTCCCTCCCAGCATTCTCGCGCTTGTAGCCTATTGCTGCTGTTGTTCCGTCCTCATGGAGCAAACCAGGCTCTTGTTTTGGTTGTCCACTTTTTACCATTGGTTGTGTGCCAAACATCTGGCATTGTGTGCTGGGTTGAAGAATGGAAGCCACACTTGGCTGACATGACACGGGGCTGTGTGTGTGTGTGTGTGCGCGTTTGCGTGTCGGTCTGTTCGTATACATATATATATATAACATATACATATATATATATATAGCTGTGTGCATGTGTGTTTGTGTGTGTGTGCGTGCGGGCGTAAAATCAGGCAATCTGGAGATTTCTCAGGATATGTCAGTGCGCTGCAATCATCGCATTTTGTCCGCGCTTCAGCTGGCCCTGCTTGGGGGAGCTGCCCGTGTGTGACAAGTAGTGTCTGATCTGTATCAAGCAGAAGCAGGATTCTCCCATACTTCCCGCGTTTGGTGGTTTCAAACGTCATTTGTTTCCAAGTTTACAGTGGTGGGGTGATGATGTTTAAAGGCGGAATGTTGCCAGGGAACGCCCTCATGACCGTTATGGGTTGGTCTTCAGGTTTAAGTCGAGGGATTGCAGCGCGGGGCTCATGTTCAGGACAAGCTGGTGAGTGACATCTACGGAGATGAAGGCGTTTTGGCAAAATGAAGCGCACGCTTGTGGGCTGGAGATGGCCAACTTGTTTGGCGGACAGCCGTAAAGAAAGGAAAGCATGTCCACCCTCCATGTGCTGTTGGTTCGTTGCAGGCCTTAAGACTTTTTGGTTCCATCGTTGGCTTTGCGAGAGATTCTGGGTGGCTTCCCCTTGCGGCAGGCCAGATTCAACAATCCAGGTTTCAAATGGAACCGGAAAGGCGTGTTGTTTGATTCGTGTTGTGACTTGTGTTGTTTCTTTTGGGCTTGGCTTTTACCATTTCCCGCGTGGCTGGGAGGAACACGGCCCGCTGCAGGTTGCATCGCTCGGTGATATCTTTCAGACTTGGAATGCCGACAAAGCATTCCAGGTCCTCCAAATTAAAGGTTTATATAATCCATTCTGCGCCTGGTTTGTATGCCTTAGCGACCCCCCCCCCGCCGCATCCGGAACCTTCCGTCCTGCCATGATTCATCGGAAGTCCGTGTTTCTTGCTGATACATGTTTTGAAAGAGTGGGCTGCGGCGCAAGCCACATGCCAGATATCAACATAAAGAAAGTACGCACGCGGCTTTGTGACGAGGACCCTGTTTCAGCGAGACTCATTCGGGAAGAAAACATGCACTCACCAAGGAAAACACGCCCCGTGCGGCGTAGGGAAGATTCTGAAGCTGACCGAGCTGGGGGCTTTCCAGGGAACTGATTCTGCTTTGGTGTGGCGTTGCTTGATGCCTGATGCATCAGCAGCACGGAAAAAGCAAAAGCATTCCTTGTGTCAGGATTTTCCCTATGGCCAGAGGGATGTCTTGTTGGGTCATGAGGCTGCTGACAATGGATGGCACTTGACTCAACCAAGCAGCAGGAACCAATCACAGGCAGCTCAAGGCCCGTTGAATGGCTGCCCTGCACTTGAGGCCGTTGCCCGCCGCAAGGATCACACATGGATTTAGTTCAGAGCCTTACAGTCAAGGTGGAGGAAACAAGCTTTGTCTTCATACATGCGCGTTTCATGTTCTTGCAAGCACTGCTGGCGTACCGTTAAAACCCATCCATTTACCTCCTGGAAACCAATGAGCGCACACGATGTACAAGCAAAACCCAGCTAAATCAAGGATAGAAGGGAACGGTCCCGAGTCCCAGCCAGAAATAGTTGCGGCCACCCTTTTGCTTTGCATGGATTGATTCTATGTTGATTGCGACTCTCTGAGGTTGTTCCAACCTGGGCCTGCCGGGGAATTTGACTGCCTCCAACTTCGGGAAGCTTGGGGAGATGAACTGCCCCAGGTGCGACGCCACTCGGAGGGAGTTTGACCATGGGCGCCCGGCACAGGGGCCCTTAGTGCGTATAGCTTTGGGGTAGCTTTGGCCGACACCGCAAAACTTGGTTTGAGGTTGGGTTGGGATACATAGCCAACGCCTTTGGCTTGGAACAGCAACAAGGCAGCCTGTTTGGGCAGTGGGGCTATTGCGGCTTTGCCGCCCACAGGTGCACAGGTGGAGTGGTAAAGTTGGGGTCATTTTGGTTTTTGAGCCACGACCTTACGCTGGAGTTCTAGAAGTCGCCCAGGGTGATGGGCTTGCGTGGCCTTGGCACCACTGCCATGGTCAGAGTTGTTCTTCAAGCTGGGCAAGCAAGCAGCGATGTTGCGAGTAGTTCCATGTTGCAGGCATCTTCTTGCAACTGTGCTGATTCGCCGACATAGGGCCCAGCTGGATGCCCTACTAACTGAAGGTCCGACAACTAAACTCATCATCAGGTTTCTTCTCGAACACGGCAAACAGTAGTCATGTTTTCGGCCTATGTTTGTTGCAACAAGGTTTCTCACATGGTTCGAGATCAGCATCGCAAGCCATGAAACGAGACGCGAGGTTTCTTTGTAGGATAATTTTGGCTGTTAGCTTCAGCAGAGCCGTTTCCCAAGCAGCCAAAGTGCTTTCGCAAGTGTCGCAGCCACCCTGTTGAGCTCAACTAAGAGCGCGTCACTCTCTTCGAACAAATGCCATTGTGTCCCTCCACCCTTGCCTTTCGGGGGACTACGGTCCGATCCTTGGCACGGGCTCAGCCAGGGGCTTTTCTTGGGCTCAGCCGATGCCTGTGGTGCTGGATGGTTTATGCTTGTTTTTGCTCATGTTGGCGGGGGTGGGTGTTCCCATTCGAGGAGGGGAATTTGTTGCAGGGGGCAGCTTGGGCCCTCAGGAGAAGGACCTGGCGCGAGCGCTTCTGCAGATGGTGACGCAGCAGTCGGTGCTTCTGGGTTCCGCTTATGCCCGCATGGCCGGATGTATCAACAGGCGCGCTGGGCCCCGGAGCGGGCGGTAATGGTTCTGCGTTGGGGCTGAGTTGCCGTGGTTGCCAAGATCAACACTGGAACCGCCGATGTCCATTCGGCGCGTCATGTATGCTTTGCCATCTGGATAAACCAATCAGCTCATTCGGCGGCACTTGAGTTTTGCTGACTTAGATCGGTCAAGTATCTAGTTTGGGTTCAGGGACTGCTGGCCTCGGTTACCTGTGTTACATGCTCAAATCCAGAAGTTTGGTTTGCACGTCCCAAGGCTTGCGTGGGAAAGGTGAGTGCTCAAGGCCAAACAAGCAAGCGTGCGGACGGGTCTTCAGACATCAGCCAGCTTCACCCTGCCCCTGGGTCAAGCGGACCAAAGCGCCTGTGCTGTCACTTGGAGCTTTCTTTTCAAGAGAGCTTTCAAGTCATCCCCTCCAAATTCACCTGGAACCCCGCAAGCCCATCCATGTTTTTTGAGTGTGTTTTTTTAAGGTGGCAATCATTTGAAGAGGCAGCATACTTGGGGTAAGGATCCTTTTTTGTGTTCGAGTCTCCTTGAGGCGAGGCTTCCTGTTTAGCTTGCATTGCGGTTCGGAGAAGGAAAACAAGCAAGCCAACTTGGAGGAGTCTCCCTTGAGGGGAACGCAGTTTCTTGTTTCCTTCCATTCATTTTCAAGCAGGCATGCCCGTTGCCAGGGTTTTCTTCGCGGGCGGCTTTGTGGACGAGAAGAACCAGATTGCCCGGACGGTGCGCCAAGGAATGTGCAGTGTGTTGCTTTGACCAGGGCCATAATGATCTGATTTTGAAGTTTTGCGGGAGCGTGCGGCCGTGTCAGCCGTGTGGGAGGGCTGAATGTGCAGGAACTCGCGCGGAAATGCGAAACCCATAATACATGCAGTGAACCAACCACAAAGAATCGGCATCTGCAATCACATTGCAAAATTCAACTGTCATTAAGCCAAGCATCTAACTGGGCAGCGTCGCATACAAGTTGCGTGCGCTTGTCGTTTCAAGCGCTATATCGCACAAAGATTGCACCAATTGAAGACAACCCCCCCCATTTTAATGGCTATACAGCTGACAACCTTTGATTTCCCAACAGGACACTACAATGATCCCTGTATGGTTTGTCCCCAAATGATGGCGCCTCATGAAATGTGCTTCCGTTTGGCTTCCCTTTAACACAACCCCAAGAATGTTACCGGCTACCACATCCATGATGTGCGTTTCCAATTGGAGGAACAGCAAAAATGCTTAGTTTTCTCTGGCTTGTTAAATCCGAACATTGGGCCCTTTGCCACACATACGCCCCTGGCCTTGGAGCTTCACAAACTTCGGGCCATGGCTTTGTCAGACAAACTGGATCCGGGAAGAACAAGTGCATCACAGGGAGGACAGGCTGTGGCAAGCCTGAGGTGCTCAACTTGCAATCGCATGCTTGGCAAGAGACGACGTTTGCCTCACCTGGTCGGGATGGCTGCAACCGCTTGACCCCCATTGTGTTTGAAGGTGCTGATTAAATTGGTAGATAGTTCGGACTCCCCACTTGCATATATCCAACTGCAACGTAGCGCTTCAGAATCAATTTCAACTCACCTCCTCCTCCAAGATTTCAGTTCACAGCAAGCCCGATTCTGTCAGCTCCCCTCCCTGTTAAAAAATGAGGCGTTTATGAGTTTATGTCATGTAATGCGTGCTATGTTCTGACGTTGCCTGCAATATGCACCTGTTGGTTTGACCAAGCTTCCCCAAGATCGAGCCGGTCAGCCATTACTACCTGAAACCTGACCCTCCCCACCCCAAAGAAGGTCTTGTTTTCGATGGGGTCAAGCCACAGCGTCATATTGAAATCCGCATCATGTGCTTGAAATCTGGCCCTCCTCCAGTTTCCGACGGGCTGGACCTGGATGGCACATGTTGAGGCAGAGTGGTAGGCTTCGGCCCTGAATTCTTAAGCGGCATCTACTTTCTTGCTGCCATTCACTCTTGAAAACGTGATTTCCGAGAAAGAGCAACAAATCGCGCAACCGGGTCCTGCCTCCTGATGCCAGTCCATCGCTATGAACTTCCAGAATTTGGGAGGTCGGAAGCTCAGCGGGCCTTGAGAGGGGCAGCTTTCTCTTCCGAAAGTCCTTTGCACTACAGGTCTGGCCTGCGCGAATGCCCTGTATACCTTATACCTGGTGGAAGCATTCTGTCAAGTAAACATGCCAAACAACTTGGCCAGACTGAACTAAGCTGTTGCCCCTTTGCCCTGCTGGATTGTCCGTTTGCCTGTGACGCGCAACTTGGCAGGCGGCCGAAGTTTGGCCGGGGAAATATAAAGTGTATCTCTGAGGATTCCAAGGCTGCAGAATTGCCGTTGTGATCCTATGAGCTAGACGCATACCCAAAGGCATCATCTCCCAAGGCCATTAGGCAGCCCATGGCAACATTCGCGATTTGTTCCTTGGCCTCAGCCGGCAGCCGCGGGGCTCACGCTTTACACGTTGGCATCTCCGAGTACGTCTCATGGCCCGTCTCACGCTGTTGGCCTTGTGCGGCGCAGCGCTGCTGGCCCGCCACACGCTGAACTTTGTGGCTGGCCGTGCCCCCGGGCGAGCGCCGCAAGTGAGCCGCAGAGCGGAGGCAGACGAGGCTGGGGTGGCCAAGACGCTGCTAATTCGGAGGGCGGTGATGTTGCAAGCTGTTGGCAGTGAATGCTAGTGTCATGTTGGTAGCATTGTTGCAATGCGTAGGGCATTGGAGGAGGTGTTGTGATAGCGGACTAACTTTGGAAAAGCGTTGTACAGATGAGTGGGGTGCATAAGATTTGATGCCCGAATCCAGATGATCCTGCAAAGGCAATGCATGGGAAACAACAGGACACCTACTCCGGCAAATGTTCTTTGCGCCGGGGTCTGGAGCATCGAACCCGATCTTTCTGGGCACAATCCCGCAGGTCCCACTCCTACTCTGCAAACAACCAATTTCGAAGATGGAAGTTGCACCAACGCCACCAACCGAGTCGCTTGGCCCAAATTCGCTGAACTCGATTGACTTCGGCTCAGCAAATGGCAGGAAGAGGAGCCGGAGTACGTGGCGGCAGAAGGGGACCGCCTGAAGCTGAAGGTCCTGTCCCCCGAGGGCGACGGCATCTCTTTGGCCTGCTCCGAGGTGATCCTGCCCTCCGCCTCCGGACAGCTCGGCGCCGCCTGGCCTTGACTCTCCCTCATGTGTGGTGCCAAGAACTTGGTTTCTTGTTAACAGGTCAGGTCATACATATGTATATATAAGTGTGTATATATATATACATACGCATGACATCAGTCATTGATAACTATATATGTGGCTTAGCAATGCAATTTGAAGCTGGGGTAAACTGTTGGCGACTTTTGCATTCAGTAAGTAAGCGCACGCAGCATGTTTAGATCACGAGAGCCATCAGCTCGGGTTCTTTGCGGGGTAGCGAAGCTCCATTTGAGGGTGTGGGGGGGGTTGCAATGTGGCGCGAAAATCCAGATTCTAATGGGGGGAAGGCTTGAGCTCCTCCCCAAATGCGCAGCCTGCGAATCTTCGCGTCGCCAAACCCATGCCTTGCTGAGCCGCTCCTCCCAAGGAGCGCCATGCGTGTTTCTTCTGGGAGCTGCCCCTCCCTCCCAAAAGTACAGTTTTTGGGAGCCCCTCTCGCAGGTTGTCGGGTACAGAAGGATTGGTCAAGCTGGCTCGAGTTGGTTCTCTCAGGTTGTGGGAGTTTGTAGTGTCCAGCTTTGTTTTGTGCGCTTCGGGGATGACTAGGGTCGACTTGGGGCGCGCATTGTTGAGGAGAGGGGCGGGACCAGACAGGCGACGTGAAGTTTGACGTACGATTTGCATTTCCGGTCTTGGCGGGGCAAGCAGCTCCTTGACGCTTATCCTGGACGTTGGTTCAATGCCTTCCGCATGTGCTGCACTGCAGGTTTTGGCCAATCACGCCCCGATGATGTCAGCGCTTGACACCGGCGTGCTCCGGTACAAGGCGCGACCTAGTGCCAGCCACTCAGACAAGCCCAGGCGAGAATTTGTCTACCGATCCATCGCAGGTTCTAGATTGTACTGTCGACAAATTTAGCTTTACATGTTGGTGGGGATGAACATCATGTTGATTCACCACACATGGCAGATGCGTACGCAAAAGTGTTTTTTTGCTGACAAGGGAGGCAATCAAGGTGGAAACGCCGAGGCGGCGCGACTGTAGGGAAGCTCTCCCCAGGCCTACTGTGTCACAGAAAGCAAGAAGGCAACAAATAAAACAATGGCCGGCTGCACCAACCAGAAAGACAAAGCAAGGCCCATAAATTTGCAAGACCTGATGGGCTTGCGGCGAAAACTCCTTGCGCTTGGGGAAACTTCAGCATCTTACCTGCGCTTCGCAGGGGTGAGTGCAGGATCAATTGGAACCCAGGAGTAGTAAACCCCTTTGATTCGTAGGTGGGGCCCAGCTGCACAGGGTCTCTCCCCTAACAAATTTCAACACACCCTCAAAGCTGAAATTTTATTCCAGGCGCAATGCCCCCTTTTTCCCAGATCCAGAGCTGGGGCATCTGACTGCAGGAGGATGGCCAATGGAAGCCCATTGTGGTCATGGGCGGCTTCGCCAGCATCGATGCCAACCAGCTCTCAGCGCCTCGCGCCAAAGCCCGTTCTTCTCACATTTGGCTGGCTGCTTCCAAGCAGACACTGGACACACAGTGGCTCAATGTGGCTGCGGTAAGCTGACATAGTTTGGGCAAGGGCACTTTTAGACACCTCGCTAGCGCTGGCCGCGTGAGGGGGGGGGGGGTGGTTCTTCCCATGTAGAGTGCCCCAGAGACAGTGATTGAAGTTTGATATGTGAAATTGGATATGTTTGACCAATTGGCATTTTGGTCAGCGGACATTGAAATTTGATCAAAGGTGAAAGTGTCTTGTTATGCCTCTGTGGTAGACGACCGTAGCAGCGTCTTGTTTCACCCGGGCGATGGTCTGCGCCCTGAAGCCCCGCATTCCGAGGTAGCCTCGGAGGTGAACCAGCGAATGTAAATGGCATCAACGTACATTGATATCTGTATAGATGGAAAGGAATGGTGTGTATATCTATGCATGTCTTTTTATACATGTACAATCATGTACATATGGATGCAGGCGTGGCATTTACATCTCAACGTTAGTTGATGTATGCTGCTTGTTGCAGGCGAGCAGGAAATGGGATACCTTCCCACGCCCTTCCGCAGCTTTTGATCAGCGGCGTGTTTGCGAGGTGCTGGTGAACGACTTCGAGAAGGCGGAGGACATCGACGCCGAGAAAATGCAGAGTGAGATGGAGGCGGCTACAGCTCTGCTGGAGAAGGCGGCATCCAAGAAGGACAAACTGGAGGCCAACCAGAAGGCGCGCGCCAGTTCTGCAAGAGCAGGCGTGTTTTGTGTTCTTTCTTTTCCCCCCCCCCCGTTTTAGCACATCGCGATTCGAGCAACCTGAGCGGGGTGGGTGGTTGTGGGGGGCTTGGGGAATTGAGTGTGCAGCCCAAGTAAAAACTCTGCCCGTTCCGAACCAAGACGATCCGGCCAGAAAGGTTCGTAAAAAACCTCAAAATGGATGTACATGGCACTACCATACCCGGATATTGCACTCGCATGCATAGCTGGGCTAGACTGTTGCAGGCGGTGGAACAAGCTGGGCGCAGAAAAGGCGTTTCCCCGCGTGAAAGCAAAGGAACCAGCCATGAGCTACCATGCGTTTCGTTCCATGGGGCCACGCCATGAAGGAGTTACATACGTTGGGTTCTTCCTTGGGACCTCGGATGCAGCTGCGCAGGTGAAGCGGGCTGCTGCAAGAATGCAGGCTGCCATGTTCCTCACAAGGAAGAAGTGAGAGCTTCTTGTGCAGCCGTCGGACCTTTGATCACTCATGAAAGCAGAGTCACACCTTGAATTCCATATATATATATATATATATATTCATATGTGGTGTGATGGTTCAATAATTCACTTCACACATTTCTTGGCAGAGCATGTGGTCAAGGGCGGTGAGAGGCAAAGCGGGAACCCTTGGGGTCGACTTGCGGTGAATCCGCTCTGAGCTTTGCTGTTGTTTTCCTGGGAGGGCGCCCTCCCGATTTCCGGCCCAGATGGGTAAGCACTCCAGAAAAGCGCTGGAACGGTAGATGGCGATTGAATGCATCGATCAGAATCAGGGACCCTTCTTTGGCTGGACTAAATGGGAATTCAATGTGACACAATGTGACACACCAAGCAATTCAATTGGCAAGTAGTTGCAAGTGGTGCTATAGTCACATTCCCTTCTGCTTTGGAAGGGCCAACCAGTGTCCATCAGGTATGTGTCTACGAATTGTGTGCATACACACGTAGCAGCGCGCGCGCACACATGTGGCGGCCTTCTGCTGCGATTGCTGTTGGCGCCTGCCATGTTGCGCTGGCGTTGAAAGCGGCGGAGGATATTTGACACCCGGCAAACTTGGGCTGAACAGGTGCCCCGCATGTTTCCGTGCCCTTCTTCAGCTATTGCAAACAGACTGTGTCCCATGCGCTTTTCCCAAAGGCGATGTTGATGGCAGCGTCCAGGTTGGGCCATGAAAGTCAGTCAGGCATTTGTGCAAAGCTGCCTAGCGGACTTGGTCGGCAACAGGGGCGCCCTTTGCACTCATAAGCCAGCAACTCGAGCACACGCGCGCACACCCTTTGATTGCAAAGGAGCTGCGAATGGACGAACATACACCCTACGTGTGGGGCGGGGTGGGTATCTTGCTCAATGTTTTCAGCTCCACGGCTCGGCATCGGTGTGGGCCAAATTGCCAGTTCGTTAGCTCGAGGAATGTTGTTGCATTGAATCACCAAACATTTCTTTATGTCATCAAGCCAGCCGTCTCATGTCCAAGATGAATTGGTAGCCACGCTCTGGCATCTACACAAAACGTAGTAATGATTTAACGGTCACGAAACCCTCTAGAGCCGGCACTCGTGTCCCTTTGGCGTCCCTCCAAAGCATCCCCGGAAAATGTACCGCCAGAGATCCATTGAGACGTGGTGCAGCTGTGCGGCTCCAGCTTAGCCCGTTTTTGATCCGAGTTTCTCCATCACGCCTCATGGCCCGCCTCACGCTGCTGGCTTTCTGCGGTGCCGCGCTGCTGGCCCGCCAAGCGCTGAACTTTGTGGGCGGAGCGGGCGGCACGGGCGCGGGTCGAGTGAGCAGAGTGCCCCGCAGGGCAGAAGCAGAGGAGGCGCGGGAGGGAGCCAGCAACTTGGACAAATCTCAGTGACGGCGCATTCGAACGGAGGCGCCAAAGCCACTCACCAAATCGCTTGGCCCCGATGTTGGCTGAACAAATGGCAGGAAGAGGAGCCGGAGTACGTGGCGGCGGAGGGGGACCGCCTGAAGCTGAAGGTCCTGTCCCCCGAGGGCGACGGCATCTCTCTGGCCTGCTCCGAGGTGATCCTGCCCTCGGCCTCCGGACAGCTTGGCGCCACCCGGCCTGCAAACTGGAGACTCTGATCGGGAGTTTGGTTTACGGGTGTGTCTTCAAATGTAGAGTGATCCCGACGACAAAGGCGGTGTCCATGTGGAGCCCCCTTTCAGACCCCAAAAAGGGAAGCCGGTCCTATGCAATTGTTCAAGGTTGTTTTCTTGTCTCCCCTGGAAGAATGGTTTTTCATTGGCTGTGCCGCACATCTTTCGGCAGCCCGTAGGGCAGGCCCTTGTGGAAGCCACCAGTGGCAGGTTTTGGCCAACCACGCCCCAATGATGTCTGCGCTGGACACTGGGGTGTTGCGCTACAAGGAGCGCGCCCAGGTTCGATCTGATTTCAGGGGATCCTTTGCCATCCATGGTAGATGACCAGACCTTACACAATGTGGCATTGGCTTAGTTGCCTAATTGAAAGTCGCAGCCACGCTGAAATGGCACCCCTGGCTCGCAATCGACGCCCCGTGAGCCAAACCCCCCTGTTCAGTGAGGACCCCTTGCCCGGACCCCGACTGGGACCCTTTTCCCCCCCTTTCCGCCCTGGGGCAACCCTGGATACGCTGCAAGCTTTCGGGCATGGCAGGAGGATGGCCAATGGAAGCCCATTGTGGTCATGGGCGGCTTCGCAAGCATCGATTCCAACCAGCTCTCAGTGCCTGGGCTTTTGGCTTGCCATGGGCCTTGACTGTGAAACAACCCCGACTTGGGATGAGGTTCTAAAGTAAATGGAGGCGGTGCCTTGTCTCGGAGAGTGAGCCATGCATGGGCATTCTGGAGCATCCTTGACATGAATTCAATTCTGTTGGTTGCGTCACATGGGCCCATTTGGTGGCGAGGCATGTTGGATGTGTTCAACTGTCATTTAAATTGTTTAGTTGCATGAACAAATGAGCAGTTGTTTTGTGTAGCGCCCGGCTGGAATGGTGTGCCTGCGCACGCGTAGGCTTTGTTGCTTGGGACCCTGTAAAGATGCAGCTCGCATTGGTTCCGCGGAGTTCCCCTTCTTATTTACCCAGAAAAACTCTGCTCAAAGGTGGGTCAACCATATTTGTTCCAGCCAGTTTGTACTGCTGGGCAAAGTTGCATTGACAAAACCACGCACAGTTGAGAGGAAGGCGTGGGCCTTTCACACGCGTGCAGCTTTCGGGGCGCTTTCCTGGAAATTGGAAAGGGCCTGTGCTTCGAGCCGTGCTTTGTGCCTAGGTGTTGGTGAACGACTTCGAGAAGGCAGACGACATTGACGCCGAGAAGACGCAGAGCGAGATGGAGGCCGCCACAGCTCTCCTGGAGAAGGCGGCATCCAAAAAGGACAAGCTGGAGGCCAACCAGAAGGCCTGGCAAGGGAAGACGCCAACCACTTGAGCCACAATCAAAACGCGGCTAGATGAAGGTTAGTAAGAGACAATCCCAACCATAAATAGCTGCGGCCGCCTTCCTAATTCTTCACATGGTTCTGGGTAGACCATTTTACTACCGGGTTTTGACTATGACTCAATTTAAGGCCTAACAAGGAAGACGCAAACCACTTGTAGATGGCCAGATTGTGTAGCGTGAAGCCCCACGGCAACATGCGTTTTTGTCCAACCCTCCTTTCCTGGTTAGTTTCTCCACCTTCTTACAAGGAACGCTTCACTGATGAGTTCGCCCTCAGAAGTTCCAGCCCATGACGCACCATTCATGAGCCCCGCCCTAAATCAGAGCCTACTTGCCTCCATGCTGCCTAGGTGAAGCGGGCCGCGGCCAGATTGCAGGCAGCCATGTTCCTCTCCAAGAAGAAGTGAGGCGAAGCGAGGTGAAGCGGAGCCTGTGAGCCATGTTTTGCGATTGCCAAGCACTGGACGGTGCAGGGCGGCGCATGACCCAATTTTTGCCCCTGGGCGAGAGCACCCCTCTGTCCGAGAGGGGTGCTCTCACGCCCTTTGACTACAGGGGTGCAAACGAAAAGGGGCCTGCAGTGCCGAGCGTTGACCTCCAAGGAGACATCTGCGCCACGTATAGCTGCCTTGACCCTGCTTGCCAAAGCAGGCTCACGCCATATATGCCAAATGGTACTGTGGTTCCCCTTGCTGTGTCGGGGTTCCACCACGGAGGATGAGGGACCCCCCCCGGCCATTTTGGACGACCCAGTTCTGCCGAGGTTGCGCCTACTTCCTGCGGCACTCGGATTTCTTGGGTGCCCTGGGCAGCTTGAAGGGCGCCATTCGCGCGAGTGCAGGCTGGGACTTTCGGGCTATCACTGCTCTCAACATCTCTCAGCCAAACCACCCGACCACCATGCCTCGCTTTTCCCCTTCCCCCCCGCCCGACTGACGGATGCCCTTCTGATGTCCTGCTTAAGGCTCCGTGCCCACGCGAACCTGACTTGCACAAATGTGCGCAACAAGTTGCTTTGGTTTGGCGTTTGGCCGGCTCAATTGTTCTTTACAGCAAAGAGTGACTTGCCGCTTCACCACCACTCCCCACCCGAATGAGGCCAGAGATGAATCGGGGAAATATCTGGTGCGACCCTGACCACCCTTGGGGCTATGTCAGCGGCTATTTGGCGCTTCAAACTGTTCCAAGAAGAATCTGAAGACGAAGCTGTGCAGTTATTCGGGCTACGCCATGTTATAGAGTTACCCTATCCAGAGACAACGCCTAAACGCTGAGACCATGCACATGCTCTTTCAGCAGCCAGGCGAGAAGTCGCCCTGAGCGCGGTGGGTGCGCTAGCTTTTGTAGAGGAGCTGGGTTTGTTATGGTGCGATTGCGAGAATATTCACCACTCCCACCCCCTTGAAAATGGCACTCGGGGAGAGTTGGAATTTCCAAGTTTCATATTTTCTGAATAGGTAATTGGACATACGGCATACGAAATTGAAGGGTGTAGAATAAGGGAATTGCTTAAGGAAACCCCTTCTTGCTCCAAATGCCCTGATTAGTGAGTCACTGCACGGGGGCACCATTTCTGGCCAAATAAACTGAGGCGGGTTGCAAGACTCGGGCAAAGCTCTTTCGCCAATGTTTGCAAACTCCCCTCCAAACCAACCAGGCCAGGAGTTACTCTCACCAAAGATGGCCCTTTTGTGAGTCCGATTTGCCTGGCCAACGCAAGCTTGACGAAGGTATGACCCCAACTTGGTCTTCCAGTGACTCTGATAGTGTCAATGCACTGGTTCCCAAAACAGGTATCAAAGGAAGCTACCCGATTTGAATATCCCGCTATTTCCAGGTGCGTGTCTTCGACTCGTCTTTGTGAATTGCTCCTCTCTGCACTTGTCTCATGGCAGTGCCGGCCCGGTCAGCGCCAAGCACCTCGTCCTCACGTTCCCGACGTCGCAGTGATTCAGAAAGGGACTTCCACGGCCGACCACCTGTTCGTCCAAGTCGGCGATAGCCTTCACGCAATTTGGGTTTTACCGATTTGTAGCTCAAAAGGGTTAATCATCAGGTCTCTTGACATCTCTTGACTACCTTATTAAGGAACACTGTCCTCCGGATATGAGGGAGCAGGCCGAACTGCTCGTGGCCAACTTGAATCAATGAAAGCGGCAAAGAAAGACCGCCGGGCCAACCCTTCGACACTGGAAACGCCGTTTCAGAAATCCGAACGGAGCAGTCCGTGGGAAGGCGCGGGTGTCGATTTGGCGCCAGCCCGTTGATTTGGCGCTCGGTGGTCGAAATCGGCTTTTCCGGCTGATCGGATGTCCTGTTTTGGACGGAGAGTCCTTCTCTTTTGGGGTGAAATCAAGGGATCGTCCCCAAGGTTTCAATGGTTTGGTCCCTCTTGACAGTTTCACAGTTTAGATGTGCTGTAGCCAAATCATGAAACAGGTTCCTGTGCTCGCCAGCATGCAGTGTAGGCTTCTGTGGCAGCGGTGGAAAGGGGTTTGCAAGTGACTGGAGCACTGCGACGGCAAATTTAACGAGTTTCTGAAGCTGTGGGGCGTTCAGAATCTCCAAGCTTTGTCCGCGGCTGGCGGCTTTTCCCGCGGCAGTTGCAAAAGGACAACTGCCGGACTGACTTCTGTAAAGACACTTTCTTCCCCGTTCTTCCGGCAAAGAAAAGGCAAACTGGAATAGGTATGTTCGCGCCTTCGATTCGGAGCGCCATGCAGCTCGTTACATGTTGGACATGCATTCGCAGCGCTCCTACTAATCAGTAGCATACTTGGGTGCATTGGCATGCCCTGTCCCGGTTCCAGGAAGACTTGTTGTTGAGGACCAACTATGTTGAGGTGTTGTCCCTGTGCATTGCCGGTGCCATGGCTTTGCCTCAAGGAATGCGGAAAATATGTCCAACACTTTGTGCACATATATGCAAATATATATATGTAGCCATCGCGTCTCCAACGTCTCCAGCGCATATACCATGTCGCCAGGGCCGATCGCGGTTAGTGGCCTTTCCCACTTGCATGGTGTTTGGAATCGTCCGGGGGCTGCCACTTCCCAATTAATATACCCTGGCGAGTCAGAAGACCAGAGTTTCAACTCTTGGGTGTCGCAGTGAGTCCCTGAATGCAACACAGAGCTCTCCCGGTTCTATTGTATCAATGGCTGACGTGCCATGGCCTTTCCGGGTCAGAGAGCTGTCAAAGAAGACGCTGGTGATTGTTGAGCAGGACCGCTTTGGCAACCTGGCGATTGAGCTGGTATTAGGCACAGGTGCTGTTTTGTGTGTTGTTCCTTTTCCGCGGTGTTTGTAAACGCATATCAGGTTGCCATTGAAAACACCATCCACCAGCCTCCCATGAATCGCCAAGTGGATCTCAGTCAAGGAAGAAATCATGAGATGTGTTGATTAGTTGCTTCTACTTTGCTTACATTTGCTTTATTTTTGCCCTGCTGTAGGTCGTTCCCCAAGGGCTTACAGTTGCCTCGGGGCCTTTGGAAGGCTAGCTCGGCATGTGTTAGTGGTGGGACGGCCGCCAACTCCGGCAAACGGGAACGGTGTTCAAAAGTGTATGGGTTTGCCTACAGATGACCTCTACTATGTAAAGAGGGTGGTTTCCACTTAATTAGGTTTCATTCAGTTTCAACAAGATGTAGCGCCCAAAGAAGCACCCGCATGCTTTGTTTTGAAACGGAGGTGCAGGGAACGGCAGTTAACACACGAGTCACGACACAGCTGTTTTCGTGCAACTTTGCGAGGCTTGACGCTGCTTGTGCCAAAGCTGGTACAGGTTTCTCCTGTTTTGCCGGGCAACGTAAAGTGCCTGTAGTTCGTTGTTTTGGATTGGATAGTTGAGGGCTGGAAACTGATTTCGCTTATGGGGCTTGCATATTTTAAAGCTGGCAGAGATTTGCGATGACATTTCTGTCATCCAACTGAGCGATGCCTCGCTTGTTGTATACACCTTTTCGGAGTGGATCCGCATCTTGGACATTCAATAACTCCCAATTTGGTGCGTTGCACACCTCTCAAGCGTTGGGTGCCGTTGCGGGAATTGGGACTGGGGATGCCAACAAGTCGTGGAGCACGAATCGCATTATTGCACGATTGCGGTTTGGTGTCGCTGGATGTCACTGGCAAGGCTTGATCTGACAATGCTTGTCCATGGGTTGTGACACAAGTCGTGTACGAGCTGGCAAAGCGCAAGAAGGGGCTCAGCTGGAGCTGATGCAACGAGGGTGTTTGCAGCGTTGGGTCTTCCGGGGTGTCCGAAACACCTTCAGTTACTATGCCACATCCAATCAAAACGGTCCCGCATGAGTTCCCCGAATTTAGCATCACCTGGCCAGTTTTTTGTTGAGCGCCAGGTGCCAATGTTAAGCCATGGGCCAGCCACCTTTGCTTGTCGCAGCATCGTGCAAGGGAACTTTAGGCGAAGTTGACCTGTGAAAGCCCATTCCTGATGTCACGTTTGAGATCGGCAGGCTTAGCAGATGCAGACCCTGACCCTTTTTGTAATGTGCAGAACCAGGCCCACCTGAACTGAATAGGCTACAGATTGTTTGGAAGGTGTTAGCCACATTGTGCACAACTGCAGGTGAAGCGCCCCATATCTACGTGGTGCTTGGGAGCAAGAAGGCTGTGATCATCGACACGGGATGCAATAGTGGCAGCTTGTCAATGACCTCACATGAGTTTCGCAGGGCTGAAGTGATTGGGCAAAGGATGTATCGCTGAGCATGTAGTGCTCGATTGGTAGTGTGGATTGGTCTCTTGGCGCGGTGGTCCGTTTTGAGTCACGCGTACGCAAACAACAACGGCCAACAGACAGCGCTAGGCAATGTGCCACCCAGCGCACACTAGCACTTACGGCAACCACAAGCATCCAGCAACCATGTCGGGGCCGCCAAAGAAACTGGATTGCATGGGCTACTTCCGATGGCACAACAGAGTACGTGTTGCGTTTGGCGGGTGTTCGTCATGTGTCAGAATTTACGGGAGTAAGAGATCCAAACCATATGCACTCCTTTTGGCGAGTCCGAAGGGTTCGACATCAGGCGTTGGATCGGTTCGTGGAAAACGGAAGCACGGAATCCTATCAGAGGATGTTTGCCCCCAGTAGAAAACAGGTTGCCAATTTCTTCTTAGGCTGTTTGCCTTTGGGGACGCGGAATCCATCACGCCGCTAGGGCCCTTCAAATGCCAAAGCAGAACTAAGCCAGGTCCTGCAAAATTGTATTTATCCCAGTCGGCATTGGCAACGCCCGTTCGGACCGCACCAAACTTTTGGCTTCAGGTTTCATGATGGTTTCCTTTTTGAGACAAGGGTCCACTGAGCTTGGCACACCGCTGCCTGCTGGAAAGCCAAATCTGCTGCAGGCTTCTCCGGGCCCCGTTCACCATGCCCACTCGGTGGCCAATACACACATCCATGTTTAGGTTGGTATCTTCAATGCCCGGGGGTTGAATCACGAATACACCTGCGATGTTTTTTCGCACCTTAGCCGCGAGTGAGGCAACCTCCGGCAGTTCCTGGCGACGTTACCGCAGCTGGCGGGGAAGGAGTTCCAGGTTGCGCCTTGGAGCCAATGCTGGGCACAGAACCCCCGGTGAAGCATCCACCAAAGTTTCGCCTGAATTCCAAAGGTGCGGACTGGAGCATCTAGGCTTAGGGACTATCCGCCAAGTTATTATGCAAAGGATTCAACTGTATGCGAGTGCCACTTGCTAGTGTTTCTCGATGCAAGGGAGCCAACCTTGAAAAGCTGCCAGCTACAGGGAAGCTACATCGCAATATATGGAGTGCTTGAAGCGAAGGACAGGTGTGCCATGACATGATGAGGCGTGGTTGGGTTCGCTCCGGTCCTGGCCTGACTCAGTTTACAAGCAACTCATGGGCTGCTTTGGTATCTAATCTAAGTGCGCCGGCAACGTTGCTGAACACAGAATGCGTCTGGGCCAAGTGCTTTCCCAGGAACTGGCTTTTGCAGAGAACTGGCCTTCTAATAGATGGACAATTGAGTCGTGCTTGATTGATCGGTGGGGAGTCTAATTTCGAGAAAAGTCTTCACTTCTGAGGGACGGCCCCGTCCAGAATGCGGGTCGACATTGCAAGATGTGCTATCAGAATTGGATTCTAGCTCGTCCCTCAGGCTGCTCCGTGTTTTTGCTTTTTTAATGTTTCTTGCTGTTCTGACGTGTTCAGTTTGATGCTTCGAAGAGCCTTGCGGGTCGTGGGGGGGATCCCACGCACCCGGTTTCAATCCGTTTTCGCGGCGAGCATCGGTCGGGGTGCTATTGTTAACATCTAGATTGATTGCGTCTCTATATCATGTAGCAGAAATTCAGTCAAAAGGCAAATCCTGGTCCGACATATTTGGGAGATGTTGTCCCTAGTAGTACAGGTAGACTCGCTTCCCAGATGTTTGGGAGTTCGAACTGTGGTATTCATGAGCATGGCAAGCTAAGGGGAGTGCTTGAACAGTTGCCCGTGTTTGAGTTGACAGGCGAAAGCAAGCCACGACCAAGATCTGAACATGTTCAATCATGTGGCCTCTTCCCACTTTGTTTGCTCTGCCAGGTCCGCCCAAGCAAATTGAAGGGGGGGGGTCAACAGGAACAGGGAAACACCTGAAAGCAAACTAACGGTCAGAATCGGGCCAGCCCAAGTACCCTTAGGTGTTGTCCGGTCCTTGTCTCACGGTCCTCAAAACCGCTCAAGCAGCCAATTTCCAAGCAATGGTTTTCGACTGCAAAAATCAAGCAAACGCTGTTGTCATTTCTTATTGTCACCGTACTGGTTTGGTAGGGCTGCGTACTGGCCCAGTCCTGTATTGATTGGGGCGGGGTGAGTCATGTGAACGTTCTTGCTGACTCCGCGCAGCATTGAGCAAGTGTTGATATTGCGGGTTGAGTAGCGGTAGGCGGCAATGTTGATGTTTGCTTTTCCCCTGCGGCATTGACCAAGTATTGCCCTCGCGGTTGCGGGGTTGTGTTTGAAAAGAGGCCGCCAAGAAGGCGTGCTGATGAGTCATCCGGACAACACGGTGTCGCCAGCTAATTCTTTTCTCGCTGATGGCACGGGAAAACACGAGGTTCAATAGAGTACAAGACGATCCCCTCTTATAGGTGAAGCGGACACATACCTTAGCCTGAACAGGCAAAGCAGCTTGCTTATTCCGACAAGAAGCCCTAGTTACTGTTTAGCTCCTTCGAGGCTTGGAACACGGGCACCCAAGAGATTCTCGCATGGCCTCGATTGGTCCCACTTGATGCAACAGTGTATGACATTGTTGGGGGCTCAGCTTCCAGCTCCCACGTTGAATTGCGGCATTCCTGGTCTCATCTCTGATCCCATCTGATCCCGAAACTTCCACTGCACGTCTCAGTTCTTCAGCGAATGGATGGAGAGGGCCACATTTTGTGCTCTGAGTGTCCCGTCTGTTTGTGCATAATTGGAGGTAGGGGGCAGCTCGCCTTCTTTCTCCTTGACCATTTCAGGTCAACACGCACATTCACTATGACCACATCATGGGGAACTATGGCTTCTGCGCCCCTGGGGGTAAGTCTTTGGGCTCCGGCTGCCGGAGCATTTGCCAGGGCTCCCGCAGGAAAGCCTTTAGCGAGAACTGGCAGGAGCCTTAGGGCGAGTTGACCTTTCAGCTACCACCCCTTACTCTATCTTCTTTTGGGCGAACACCACTCACACTCTTTTGGGCTTGGCCGGGGAATGCCGGGGAAATCATTCCGGACACATTTGAACTTGCGATCCGACAGTTCCAACATTGGAGGGGTTGAATGGAGAAGTAGAGGGGCAACGTCGTCCTCAAAGGCAGCTGAGTTTGACAGATGGTTGCAGAGAGGGCCGCTTAGATTCCTTCTCCCATGTGTGGCCAAAGTATGCCAAAGAGCTTGGGCTTGTTCAAGTGTGGGCGCAGGAGCACTCCCTTCAGGCAATGGTGGGCGCGGAAATCCTAGACTTCTGCGTCACTGCATCTCGGATGGATTTGAAGCGCGTGTTGAACCTTGCAACACTGGTATGGAGGGACACCTGCACGTGGCGCGGGCTTGGTCTTCGACAGCCAGCGTGACCTGTGACCAATGAAGTTTCCCAAAGGCGCTTGTTGATACTCAGGTTGATTATGAGGGCGGCCAGAAAAGCAACAACTGCCCCGTTGCTTTACACAACGTCACATGAACTTCTCGTACTTTCCACCTAAGTGGAAGACCGAGCAACAAGGGTTCAAATTTCGGAGCCGCGGCTGGGACCTAGGATTGGTTAGATGAAGGTGCGCGAATCTATTTGGATGAGGAGAGCCCTTCGGAGCTGGAGTCCTTGGAGGTGTTGCACACACCGGGGCACACACCCGATTCCATTTCCCTGCCACTTGCCGAGAATTGTTGGTCGAATCTGGGGCAGTCGATGCTGTCAACTTTGGATTCCTCGCCAATTCATCCAGCTGTGCAAAAGCTCACACAGGAAGCCAAGGGTATGGTACTTCCATCCGGCAACTGCTGCAGCCCCCGTGGCAAGGACTGCTGCAACACAGGCACACCAGGTTCAAATGATCAAAAGGCCAGCATTGCGAATGGTTGAGAAACACGTGAGGGTGCTGGAAGCTTGGTGGTTCGTTTGCCTGCTGTTGCCAAAGGGGAACTCAAACACGGAACTCCAACCATTTAGACAGCCTCGTGCTGACACGCAGGCAGTCGTGTCCACATTCACACTCGCAGGCTGTCCTTCTTGGCAGGAAAGAACAGGACAACAGCTGAGCTATGATACAGGCTTGTTGACAGTGGGTAGCTAACAATGGCTTCACCTAGGAAAGTACTAAACACGCATGTGCCCAAATGCGTGTGTATGTCCCGTCCCTGCGTGTGGTCCGCAAAGAGCATGTCAGTTGAAATCCACGAGCCGTAAGACATTCCAACTTAGAGTCAGTGTGACGAGCACACGACCCCTAAGCTGGCCAATCGGCGTGACAGAATTACACGTGTCCTCTCGTTTGTGATTCTATCTTAAGGGAAGCAGTATGCCTGGCTTGCCGCCCAACAATTGGGTCGCGCCGTGGAAACTAGCAGGCTGTTTGCCAGCAGGCGTTTGATCGAGGTGGGGCTGACGCTTTGTGTTCTGACTCCTGTGCCTGTATCAGGTGTCGAGGGAGGGCAAAATCCAAAATACACGCCCTTTTTCAGAGAACTGGTGTTTGAGCAGCTTGCTTGGAGAACGGTCAGTCGACCACTTATCGCCCAGGATTCAGGCAGATTGTTAGGCGCCCCTCCTTGCCCAGTACATCGGCTTGAATGTGCACCCTGCCTCCTCCAGAACTCTTGACAACGCAGCTGAACCCCTCTGCCTGTTGCGCACCATCACAGAAGAGGAGGGTGTCTATGTTAATGTGCCATGCGTCAGCCTCCGGTGGGGAGGAAGCTTGGCCTCCTAGAAAGCCGCATCCAGGGCCCAACTGCGAAAGCTGACCAGTATCTGCCTCAAGTAGTGTAGGCCGATTGAGGTTTGCTTTGCTTCCAGCCAGTTGGCTCGTTTTCCGAAGACCCTGCGTTCATGGCTCAGATCGCGTCAGCATGCGAGGTACTACCCTGCGGAAAATCGCCTTTTCACAGGGGACCTCATATATCCTGGTGTCTTGGTCGTGGTGGGTCAGTCGGCCGAATTGGGAAGCACACTGGTGGCTATGGGGGAAGGCTCCGGATTTCTTGGGCATCCCTTGGATTTTTGCTCGCCGGATGTGTATTTCAAACAAATTGAATGCTTTCAGATGCTTTTTCACAAGGAATGCAACACTGCTGTCCAGCTCCGACCCATCCTTTCCCTTGGCTTGGCCCAGGTATGAAATGCAGAGAATCAAACACACTGTCCAACCATTTTGCCCCGGCAACCCGTTTCAATCCACCCACTGGCTATGTTTCCTGTTTCCACACATGTAGTTGGCCACGCTCATTCCCGTGCTGGACCCCACTGCCGTCGGGATTGCAACGAATGCCCAAGGAAAGGATTGCATTGCGTCCCCCAGATGGAAGTCACTACCTACCCCTACCTTTTTTAACGAAAAACAGTGTTCCTTCCTGATGTGTCTTGTTTGTTCGCCCAAGGGAGGGTTTGATTTGAGAAAATTCCACGTGACATGCGGGGGCTGTGAGAAGAACAGGGGAGTGCTGGCTTTGCAGGGAGCCTCCAGAGCTTAGCAGCAGGAGCAGTCGGCCCATTTGATCTGGAAAGTAGCCGGGGATCCACTTCAAAAGCTAGCAGAAATGCGAGCGCCAACTCAACCACAACAGCTAGGCAAAGCCCGGCCTAGCAGATACACAAATCCCGCACGCTTCCAATTGCTCACCGGTGCGATTGGTTGAGGCCCTTTTCGAAGGCACCTTGTGCGGTGCACTTGATGGTGTTGTCTCTCATTTTCTCTTATTCTAGGTTTAGAACAATCATGCTGGCCGATTCTCAGGTGGAGGTGGGCAAGCAACTGACAGCTGACCTGCAAGTCCCTGAAGTGTGGTTTGAAGAATGCCAAGCTGGCATCACGTGGAATATCTCAGAAGAAAATTGGGCACCAACAAGCCAGAAGAAACAATTTATTGGTCGAAGTCGGCTTTTTGTTTGCAGAGGTAGCATCTTTCTGCACCTTCCCGGCAGTGACCTGGAGGAATTTGAGGCGAGCCTCAGCAAAGTCCGGGACTTTGCTGCCGACAAGACAGGCACGGGTGAGCTGGAAACATGTCTCCTTTTTAAGTCATTTTGTTTGAACATGGATGGCACAGGTTTCAATTTGAAATTTGGTTCTAATCATCTACCAGTGCCATCTAGTAGTTTAAAAGGACACCTCGGAACCTGGACATTCTTGGGCAGGGCGTAGCCAGCCGTCGGGACTGCTGTTAAAGGGCATCGGGGACAGGTGGATGGCGGCTTCGTAATTTGCTGCTACTGTGAACGCAGCTCAATCTGCAATGTTTGAGATATAGCACACCAGTTCATATTCTGGAAGCCAAGTGGTTTGGACATGCACTCCCTTGTCGGGTGTGCCCTAGCCAAGCCGATTTTCCAGTACTTTTGAGGATGGTCATCCATTTGATTCAGATTTGAAACTCCACACCAGGGGTGAGTGACCATTGTGATTCAATAGTCTTCACGATGAACACGTTGCATCACCACTTTGTTTTCTTTGTTTAGTGGGTTCCTCACCAGAAATGATCAACCCGCGAATGGCCGCATTTTGCGTTGTTCTCAACATTCATTTATTTTTTTTTGGGGGGCCCTTGCAACTTACCACCCCTGAAGAGGGTTGACTGATAACTTTGTGTTGGTCTCTTGAAGCACTGGGTCGGATTTTCCAGCATGGTTTTGGAAGTATTGTTTTTTTCAGATTTTGCCAGCTTTTTGATTCACTGGTTGTTTCCCTCTTGCTTCGGGGTGGGGGTTGCCTCGGATTCGAGGCTTCGCGTTGAGGCCTGGTGCTGAGCTGCGGACACATCACTCCATCTTTGCAGGTCGCAGCGCTGCAGGAAGCCTCCGTGGGTACGAAGTGAGTCTGTGTTTTGCAAGGATACCGTTTTTCGGGTTGGCTGCTAGGGAAACCGAAAGGAAAGCCACAGTCTCGGCATCCCTTATTAGGCACAGACCGAATTGATTGTAGCGGTTAACAACAAGTCGGGATTTGTTCTTTTCTAACCAATCCACTCAGGAAGGCCGATTGTGGGGCGGTGCAGGTACTGGCGGCTTTGCAGTGGTGCCTTTTCAAACCATGTGCTGCTTTCACCTCATAAATAAGGTCTTTGAAGCAGGATGTTCGGAGGTTCCAGGCTTCTTGTTTGGCAGGGCCGGTCAGGAGTGCATCGCCAATGATGATAATGATACAACAACGTCAAATCACTCAATGCACATGATACGCTACTGTTATTACCACAAATACACAAGTAGACGAATCATATCCACGCACAGTCTACGGATATCGGAAGCCATATATGCAGGAGGCTACAGTACCAGTACATACTCCAGTGTTTTGATTGATGAACATACAGACGCACGCACGTGTGATACGAATTTGAGTATTTACGATCCACGTCGTTATTAGGAGCCGCCAGGTGTGCTTGATTTGGTGGGCGCTGGCTGATGCCCCTCGATCTTGACAGGTTATGCTGCAACAGTTGTTATTTTTCCGGTGGTTCAAGCTGCGCATTCGTTTCTTACCGAAAATACGTTCTTTTCGACATCCAGCCCTCAGCCTTTTTTTTCGGCGTTTGAGACGCCGGGCATCCGAATGTAGTCAATTCCCGAACTTTAGCTCCAGCGTCCCACGTGGACAATTGGACCCGCAAAATGCAACTGTCCCCAAGAGTGCCATTCGGAGGCTTCTCTTTAGTTTGATGTCTTTAGGTTGAAACCTCCTCCCCAGATGCAAACTGCACCGTGCTTGTATCTGCTAACTTCGAATGCAGTGGAGGCCTTAAACAAAAATGCACACGCGCTTGGAGGTGTTGAGTTCGTTTCTATTGGTTTTGCGGCTGTGCGGGATCTTCGTGCTTCAGCTCAAACTGCCCCTGCCTTCCCGGTTGCAGCTCTCAATCCACGCCACGAAACTCAACAAGCACTGTATCCACTGAAACTTGATCCGAAGAGCTGCGCACCAGGTGTTCCTGTTGTTTATTGATTGTGTAAGGCAGCCCCACGGAGGCGAGCAGCTGACGTCTCATGTTTTGCTTGTCCTTTAGCAGCGTTGCCAGATTCATTGCCCTGGGTTCTAGCCCCTGCCCAGATGCGGCATGCGAGGAGCTCCATGGGTTAATTGAGGAGATGCACCAAGGCGCGGCCAAGAAGACGAGGTGAGACGAAACATTTGCTTTGATGCTTAGTTTTCGTTTGCTTGACGTGAGCATGGGACTCATTAGTCTGAAATTGTTCTGGCCTGTCACCGTCAATGTAACATGACGTAACAGACTTTCAGGCGGGTCGGCCAACAAGCTTGGGTTCTGGGTAGCCAACTTACACGGCACATGGAATACGCCAACGTCAGGACATAGACTTATTCATAATATGCATGTTGCGATGCAGCACCACATAGCTGTGCCACACGAGCAGTTGAGTTAGCCGCCTGAACCCGAATCAGTGAGCCATGCTTGAGTGCAGGCATACATGATTAGAGTGCAGGGCGGGGGGGGCGGGGGGGTCAAACTCAGAAGTGGACACACGTGCAAGCCACCGGGCAGAGTTGATCTTCCAGAAGCCGACATGTACCCTTCCACAGAACATGGACTTGCGCATACCGCTTGTCCAAAACGAACGCAGTCTTCCAAAACGGACTGTGCACTTCCATGTTTGGATTATGGTTCGGCAAACCATGGCTTGCACAGCTTTGGATGCCTACATTGGCAATGGTGCAAGTTGGCTTAAGTGCACAATCTGTTGGAGCCCCGGTCCCAGCCCAAACCTTTTGCGTTTGTGGCGGCCAGACTGCCAGCCTGGACACCTCATGTTTGTTTGTTAACATGTTTTGAGCATTTCAATGTTTTCCAGTTGGTTCACAGGCCCATCACTCGGCAGGCAGGGGCCAACCACGATGGGACGGAGCTACAACGAGCTTCACCACAAAGCAGCTTGGACTGCACAGGCTCATGCCCCAAAAAGGCACCTTGAGGCTCAGTGACCATCGTGACAAATCAGAAGCCTTTTTGGGGTGGATCATTTTGGTGGGACCCCCTGTGGACCAACAAAGAACAGCAAACCACCGAATCACTGGTGGCAACAGGACCGCATTTCGGTTAACATGTTTGATTTGCTTAAGGGTCCACGGCAAAGGTAGACAAAAAGCAACATGAAACCTATCACATCCAAGAATCCGGAGGGGTGAAAGGGTAACGTGCATTGCCCAAGTCAGACACTTGATGCACATGTCAATGTGTGTGTGACACTGTGTGCGCACAACAAAAAGAGCCCAACCTTTCGACAAGATCTTGCGGAGACTTGGGCTGTTGTTGTCCAACAGCACTTGGCTCTTGGCTCACTTGTGGAAGCAACACAGAATCAGCTTGACTTGTCCCATTTGTTGGCGCACATCACTGAGCTAATGCTCTAGTTGCCGGATTTCTGCAAAGTTGTCATGTGCATATAAACCAGCAGGGCGGTCATGGTGAGGTGCAACAGGTTTGGTCTGGCAATCGGTAATTTCATGGTGGTTGGCCCTCTCGCACGCTCCAACCCACATGGACAAGTTGCCGGCATTGACGCCATCATTCCTGGTTCAGAGAATTGGAGCCCCGTCAAAACCTGCTTGCAGCATTCAAATGCTTGTGGAAGGGGCATGGGATAAGAACGTTGAAAATCGACACACACACACACACATATTTATGTATATATCTGTACATGTTTTGTAGATTAATGAACAGTTCCTAAGTGAGTTTTCTTGTGTCATTTTCCGACTCCGTTTTAAAGCTGTGTAGAGCTCAATGAAACCGCCAAATTGCTCGCCCCCTGTGAAAAGCAACCGAATGTGGTCAGGAATTTCACGCTGATGTGCCGCACGGCAGACGTGAAGAAGATGAAAGGGGCATGATGACACATGTGACGCCTTGTAGGCAGGAGATCGATGCGATTCAGGGAACGGGCAATCACCGCATGGAAACACCCAATGCCGTCCTGTCCCTCATTTCCATCATTTAAAAATCATTTATGTGCAGCTGAGGGCCTTATTTGCTTCTAGCTTCACGCGACAAATCTTGCAACACAGACATGGATATGGCTTTCTTTGCAAGCTGGGCATGAAGTGTTGGGGTCAGCCTTTTTTCTAGGGGAGGTTCGCAGCAGATAAATTTACATATTTGTCCAACTGTCAGTCAGTGCATGTTGGCCGTCCGCATTCGTGCAGCTATCCGCTTCATGCACGACATGTGCTAATTAGGTGCCTTCACACATGGTTGGACCCTGTGGAAGAAGTTTAGTTTAGCTGGCCACTGGTGCTTTGGCCACCTTCCCTTTTCTACTTCCCCAGCTGCCCCTCCCACACCAAGTTGGCCCCCCTAGGTGCTTGCTGGATTTGCCATGTTTGCCGTTCTTGTGTGCACTCGGGGCTGCCAATACGGAACAGGTGTCCAAAGCGAAGTTTGTGTGTCATGGACTTGTTGCAGCCGTGCAAGGACGCCAAGCGCTGGCACTCCGTGCAGTTTCCGTCATGCCGGCGCGAGGAAGAAACCTGCGGACATATGTTCAAAGTGTTCTAAAAATGGTGGGGTTGGTTCAGCAAGGTTGCACTGGTTTCGCAGTTTTTTGCTCATGTGCCAGCGCCATCCATGTTTCCAAACGGACCCTGTGAACGCATGTGATGAAGTGGGAGCTGACGAGGAAGACGCCAAGCGTTTCGAATCGGACGGTCTGCGTCCCACAGGCTCAAGCAACTTGGTCCCAAGGACTCACGGCCAGGGCCAGGCACTTCGGAGCATTTCTGGAAGTTTAACACCAAGAGATTTCACTACAGCAGCCGGCGGCAATGATTTTTCACGGAAAGTCCGAGAACTTATGTGAAAGCTGCAGCATGGGCATGGAGCGTTTGCCAACAAGTTGACTGAAGGGCCACCTCACCAAAGCCAATAAATCAAGCTTGCGACATTTGGCAATGATCAATTCCAGCGCTTGAGGAGTCAGGAAGGCCTAGTGCCCTCCTTGCTCCCACTTGGGATTGCCTGTCACGGTCTTGCCTACGTGTCTATTGACCATGGTAGCTCGACAGCAAATTGACCATGAGCGGGAACCTTGGCTTTTTAATCATGACTCGGCAGGGCAATTTGTTGTGTCAAGACTTAGTTCTTTGAAGGCGCTGGGCCCGTTCACAATGTGATCCTCAGATTTATGGAATTTTCGGAAGATTTGCGTAGCAGCTTGGATCATGGCGCCATGAGCCGGTCACAGGGCACCCAGGCGCGGGACCCGTGGGGGAATTGCAGGATGTGAACAGCTTGTCCCGTGTTTGCTGCACGCTAATGCAGTGACGTGATGGACTTGATGTATGCGTTTGTGTGCATGTTAACGTCAGAGGCTTGCGCCCGTGACACAACAAAGGCCCGGATGGGGAGGCCTCATTTTTCGTTGGCCTTTAGGTCACGGTGACTGTCCCGGAGAACGCGCCGCCGGGCACACTGCTTGCCGTGCCCATACGAGGCAAGCGACTGAGGGCGGGGATGGGCAGTCAAACGTGCGCTTCAGGGTCTGATCGCAGCGGACGGTCGCATCATAGCATCACTTGGCATACTCGTTTAGTGTTCGGGCAATGTACGGATAATTATGTGAACTCATGAACTGATTGTTGTCTGGGTTTTCGTGTATAATTTGTAAAGGGGCTGTCCATTTTTTACAGGTTTCGATCGCCCCTCAGCAAGCAGTCAGTGTTCCAGCCTGGTCAGCAGATTCAGAGGCTGCTCGCAGGCTGGCTGGGGCTTGCTTTGAGCCACAAAAGCAAGCCCATCAGTCAGTCCAGGGGCAACCGGGGCCGGGGTGGCCGGTTGCTCAACTGTTGATTCTCCCGAGTGTTCGGTGGCTCTCGTTTTGCCATTTGCGCTGAGCTGTTTATAGACCATGGCGGCACTGCAAGTACCGACCGTAAGGCCCAAGGGACTTTTGTGATCAGTGACGCTGACTTTGTCCTTTAGGCTACCTCTGCCAGGGGCAATGATCCAGAGGAACCCTCTGAGCAACAATGGTACGGTATGACTACTTCCTGGGCCTACCTTTCCGTGTTCTGGTCGCCAGTGGAGACTACATCAAGAGAGCTGGCAAGCTGGAAGATGTTTGCGCTGACAGTAAACGTACCAGCAACGAAACATGTGATAGATAATTGTTGCAGGCTTCACGGGTGTAGCGTGTTTAGCCCGCGAGCCTCGCACGAATTCAACTATGTAACTATGCAAGATGGCCTCAAGTTGCACCCCCAGAATGAATCCATTCCTAGCACAGGTGTTGTTGCTCTAAGTTTTTTTCGCGGTAGGCAAAGACAAGCAAGCCTGTCGAGCCTTCGCAGCGTGAGGCGGCAGCGACACCCTCAAGGAGAGCAGGGAGGGAAGCGGGGGCCAGAGACGAAGGCCAAGGTGCAAAGAAAAGTGAGGAAAAACAGCTCTGGAGCCTGCACAGTAGTGCAAAGCAACTTTTAAAGTTCGGAGGGGCCTGTTGAACACCCGGCCTGGTTCTCACAAGCTTGAAGACACCCTGGGCTCCTTTTGTTCACTGTTTGCAATGGCTGTCAAAGTCAGACAACGGGGTTTGCTTACCTATGTGTCCCTGTTTCACCTACCATGCCTGGCATCAGGGGATCAAGACTGTCGATGAACAAAGCTGGCAGCTTAGGACATGAAATTGAGGCTGGTGAAATAATGGTGCCAGACCGAGCTGCGCGGAATGACTTGGGGCATGTTCCGCAAACATCCGGAACTTCACAGCCCGTTTGAAAGCCGTTACGCTGGAAAAGCAAAGAATGTGGGAACGGATTGGGGGTGATTTGCCATATTATCAAGCAGGACAATGTATCTAAGAGCAAGCTGTTGCACGATTCGTGATGCAACATAGGCAGACCTTTGTTTGCTTGGGCAATCATGCTGCGGCAGTCATCATTGCCTTGCCTTTGTCACCCTTAACATCAAGTCATGTGAGAAGGTTGCGCGCGTGCTCAAAACCGGGGAAACATACTAGCTTGTTAGTTTGCACGGGCTGTTAACCAACACATGGCATTTGAGGTTCCTGGCGCCAGGCACTGCATCTAAGTCCCAGTGGGGGCATTTGGAGTAGTCATGCAGCTCTCTCCGAAAGCAACCTGTAGTTAGTAGGCACTGCAGTCGATGTATGTGTTTTCACCGGCTCATACCGGTTCCATGATGGAAGTTTTGCCTGGTGTAGTCGATCAACAAGCGTTTCACCGCTTGTTGCCAGAAGGATAGCCATGATTATCCTGATGTTGATCTCGGACTATCACCCAGATGGAGAGGCACTTTTGATCTAAGACAAGATGCGACTTGAATCAGCCAGGTGCGTGTGCCAGAGGGCCTCGGCGCCGGTAGCACCCTACTGCTGACGCGCCCAGAGAATGGCGAGGAGCGACTCGGCCCAGGAAGGGGGAAGGGCGCGCCTTGTGAGGGGGTCAAGTTGACTTAGACATACATGTATGTGCTTTGTTGGAGGTAGCAAAGTGAAACCAAAGGAAAGCCACCTTAAGCAAGAATTCCCGCGCCCAATTTGGAGAGAAACCATACCCAGATTGCCAGCAAACAAGCCTCAGAGGAAGCGCTTCTGAGGCACTTCGAAGCTTCTGACCTTCTGTTTGGCTGTGAGCTCTCTAGATTCAACCTGTCCCAAAAGCCCACCTTGAAGCAAACAAACACCTTCAAACAATTGTTTGGTCTGTTGTTCTTCGCTTCATGGCCTCATATTTTTTCCTTGGATTTCCCAGTCTTTTGGAGCCTTAGGTGGGCGCTCTCCGTGTGGCGCCCGGGTCGGGGGGCGGGCTCAGGTGTTCACCGTGGATGGGGTTCCCACTGGGTGACATATTCGATCTATGCCCTGGCAAGAATGGCGGTCAAGTTTGCAATGCTCGGTTTGAGGGGTGAAATTTGACCAAGCCATCCTACGAGGATGCCCTGCTTTAGCCCAGTTTGCTTGCACATCTCTGGGTGAATCATGCACCAGTGCCATGTGTTGCTTCAGGGACCCCGCGGCTCCCTTCCTTTACCATTTTCCCCCCACTTTTGGTTCACCACAGGCAAGGAGCCGGCAGTCAATTAATGCTTCAATGAATCAATCAATCAGTCAGGCAATCAGTCAGTCAGTCAGTCAGTCAGTCAGTCAGTCAGTCAGTCAGTCAGTCAGTCAGTCAGTCAGTCAGTCAAAAAAGCAAGCAAGCCAGCAATCAAGCAAGCATGGTCCGGCTTCACATCTTGCGCTTCCATGTTGGGTCCACGGTTCCGCCTATGTACCAACTTGATCAGCGACCCTGCTTCTGAGGTCTGGTCATTGTCCCTGTGAAGATTCTAGACTGGGGATCCTTACTGTGGGAACCGTCACGGTGCTGCAGACTTTTGGAGTTTTGTTTGGCTCCATCCAAGTTAAGCAAATATGTGTCTTACTCGGGTGCTTGACTCGCCTTATCCGATTTCGGATCGGTTGAGGGCAGTTGCTCTGGGCCGCGTTGCCAGCAATCCTCCGCTTGCCTCAGTGGGCTTCGAAACGGCCACCTAACACATAAGCCGGCTCGAACTTGAGGTTGATCCAGAACTTTGGCCATCCATTGGTGCGCTAATCAAGCTGATCCCATTGTGATGGTACACTTAGGTTAGCTCAGAGTTGCGCAGTTGGGTCGTGACTAGGCCAGAAAGATCCTCGCAAGAAGCTGGGAAATAGCAGCCTGGGGTTTGCTATAATAGTGTTGGTCTTCTGGCTGTGGTCAGTGGTCCAACTACTCCCCATGCGCAGTCTCAGAAAGAACAACACCCTGCCACCACTGGGCTTCTGCTTTTGCAAGTCTCTTGTCGACTGCGATTGGCATGTCAGGCGGAAAAAACACGTCACGGCTGCAACACACATCACAAGCCAGCTTGGGTGTTTGGCAGCTGGCCAGAGGCATTTTGGGCACATGTTGGATCAGACATTCAGCTACGTTTCGGCTGCAGTGGCAAGCCCGCCTAGAACTGCAGTGGCACAAACGCACACGCAAAGCAATTGCAGCATTGGCATGCTCAACTGTTGGCATCTGCCGCGTGGAAATGTGAAGAGAGCTTTGGGCTGCTTGAGCCGTGTTCCACAGGATGTTATTAGAATCGATTGAACCTGATGTTTTTTGAGGGGACCCATCAAAGCGTGGTTGATGCTGTTTGGCACGAGGTGGGCAAGGTGGTGCCTATCAGCAACGAGGTGGGAGATCGATGCGGGGTGGTTGGCCCGTCACAATCACCATCCCAGGTCAAATGAATGTTGATGTTTGCCGGGCTGGCCGGTGGCTTTTTCGAGCAAATATGCCGGAACATGTGAAGATGATAAAACAGGCACTTCTATTGCAGAGGTTAACGCTTACGAACAAACTGTGCATGACCATGCTTGTCCCACCTCATGTGGAAAGTATGCGTTCCAACTTGAACGCCTACCTAGCACCCGCATGCCCCTTGTTCTTCTGCTTGAGCCCTACGTCTCGCAGTATGTCTTTGGTTCAGTTATTTGCGTATGCGATCCGTATGAAGCGCAGATTTGTGCCCCAACATTGTTGAGATAAGCACCGCATGATAGATTTTTCAAGGGTGGCGTGACCAGAAACAAAAGCGGCCATGTTGGGATGCAACGTGCTCTCACAGCTGTGTTGATTGTCCGTTAGATCAGAACATGGGCCACATTCTGCAGCGGTCGAGTGCACATGTTTGCTTTGTACTGGCAAGGATTTGTGTTTGCTTTGCTTTTCGGACACTGTTGCGGCCCGCATGGTGTGATCGATCATGCAAATTCGCCACCATGGGATGGTTGCTTCTTTCGAGTTTTGCAAGTCATTTAAACAGCAGCGACGCCATATCACCAGTATATATGCTTGACCAAATGAGTCTGAACGTCTGTACTCCTGTTTTCGCTTTGTGGGAATGACATGCAATTGGAGGGCTGCCTCTCGAAAGTGGCGTCAGGTGAGTCACGCGGATGAGGGGGCAAACCAGGGGGTGAACGGCCAGGAGCCAGAGACCTGCTGGCAGAGGGGCAGTTTCTGGGCGGAATAATTTTCTGGGCGCTACTATGGGCCATAGTGGCTCATTTTGCCCAAAAGGAATCTAAATGGGATAGGTACTTGTTTCTTGGAGACCCCTGCAGCCGACACAAAGATCGCTTTGTGACAAGTTTGCCAGCGCAAGGGCAGGAGGTTCAGTGCTTCAAGCCCCAACCCCCTCATTTGGGAGAGTGTTTTTTTGCGCATCAGCCCCCGCACGCCACTTGCTTGCTGCTCGAAGCACTTTGCCTTGCAGGGCAAGGCATGCAATAAATAAATTGTTGGCCGCGGCCGGCTGTCCTTGGTTCAGGGAAGCAGGCCATCAGCGTACTTGCAGGGATCAGGGATCCTTTTTTTTTTTTGGAGATCGAACGTTGCAGTACCTCTTGGGGCCGTTGTGATGCAAGCGGCTTTCGCTCCTGAAAGTGCTTTGGGTCCCCTGAAAACTGTTTTGGCTCTCCCTTCGGTGCATTTCGGCCCCGGAGGAGGAGGACAAGCAGCGGGAACTTGAGCAGGCCCGTGGGATGAAGCGAGAGATTGGGAACCCCGAACCGCAAGGAAGGCAGGCGTCGGGGTCCGCTACTTACTTGCACTGCTTGTGGGACGAACCCGTAAAATTGTCATGGGTGCCCTTGACAATGGAATGGCGCCCCTTTGAACTGGCCACGTTTTAGATTCCTTACCGGCTTTGGATACAACATTTTGCTGGGTGCCCTGGATCAACTTGGCTTCGCCTGGGGATCCCTTCGTTTCATCCAGTTTCTCAGGGGCACTGATCAAAGTTCCACGTATCAGGGCCACAGGCCGGCTTTGAAAGCCATTTTTGTGCCTCGCAGCCAGCCTTGCATAATTCAAAGCGTAGCGTAGCACAGGCTTGAAAGCATCCCATCAAAGAATGCATCTTTCGAGTGCTCAAACGACGATCCTTGTGCCCTTGTCTCTTTGAAGGCTGGCATCGCTGCCAGTCTGACTTTGGCATGGCTGGCGGAACCTATTCGCCAGCTTGTTGCACGGCCTTCGCAATAGGATAGCATCTCTGGCAAGCCCGGCAACAAGCACATCTACTTGGCTGAGCCACTTATGTTTTTCACCGGGGCACTGGCAGGCCAATCAGGCTATTGGAGGGGGAAAATCATTGTTGTTCCGCCCTTCAAGCCACACGTTGTTGAACGTTTTTGGCAGTGGTAGGCGAGTGAGCAGGTTCCTTTGCTTGCGCTAGAGTGCTAAAGATCTTGTTTTGGCTGTTGCTCAGCGTTGGATTGCCCAGCTGCTCAGAGAGCGCTCATTTCAAAACCTCAGAACCCGCAGGGGACTGGGAGATGGCATTTGGGGATCGTTTGAGCAATTCGAGCTGAAATAGCACATGGGCTTCTTTGCAGGTCCCATGATTGAATTATCCAGATGGTCAAAGGCACCTTTTTTCCTTTCTGTGTGGTGAATTTCCCGCTGAAAATCGTTGACCAGGGTTACTGGGCAACCGGGTACCAGTATGCCGCATGGCACTGCTCCCAGGAGTGGCTCCAGCAACAGGAGGCACAGGCGCGCAGATTTGTCTAGCTGAATACGCAAGCCAAGATTGAGGTTCGCCAAGAGGATATTCCTCTATATTGCATGTGTTTGGGAATATCATGCTCATTTGGGGAGGGTACCTTGGCTCCATCAATGGCCACCAATGGCCGGTAGTTGTTTGTTCTGGTTTGTTCATCACTCCATAGCTATGGCCGGTCACTTCAACCACGACTTGCGGTGGTTGTAAAGTCAACACGCCGAAGATTTCCAACAGTGAGCGAGTGTTCAGTATATGGGCAGCTTACAAACGTAAAGGACGTGGTGAAGGTGTACAAACGACGCCATGACTATCGCAAGCTGACCTCGTTTGTTACACGTGGCAGGTTGTAATTTGTCTCCGCCTGTAGACTTGACTCAGCCGCAGTTTGTTAAGCAGCCTCAACCCGGACTTGCTGTAGCCTTGCAGCTCCTGAAAGAAAGGATGGGTGTTCAACATGCTTGAACATCGACCAAGCCGGTTCGATCATTTGGACGCTTTTTCTGCACGGGAAATGCGATCACAGAAAGAAAGAAAAGAAAGAAAGAGAGAAGAAACAAGCAAACAAACAAGCAGACAGGCTGACAGCAGACAGACCGCAAGCAGATAGACAGACAGACAAACAAACAGGCAAACAATCAGGTTTTGCCTTTGCTTTGGAAGGCCAGGGAGGAACTTGGGCAGAAGGAGCCGGAGCAGGTGCACAGCCAGGCACGGTAAGAGCATCCAGCTCACATTCTCTTCGGATGGGTTGGCAGTTTGCAAAAGTCACGACTTATGATTGTTGCTCGTGCATTTGCTTGTGCGTCTCTCTCTCTCTCTCTCTCTCTCTCTCTCTTGGGCCTGTGTTTGTGTATATTTGTCCAAAGGCAGCTGCAAGGTGTGGCAACCAAGCTACCACTGTGGCCCTGGCAGATGTTGAGTTTCCACAATTCCTGACACCTGATGTATTGCCAATGCTATTGCAGTATCGCCAATAATTCTTGGCTCTCAGGGTTCGTTCAGCATCGTCGATGCTAATTTTGTTTTGCCAAGGCTTAAGTTTAGATTTCCAGTACTTAACCTAGTATAACCTATAGCCATTGGAGCAGGGAAGGGCCTACATCAACCACCCTTGAAAGTAGTAAAGGCTCAGGCTTGTGATCTTTTCATTACAAAGATTCCCAAGCCAGTCAGATGAAAGCGGATCAGGGGCTCTTGCGGAGTACCCTGCTTTGTGTGACAGTTTGGCCTTGCCTTTTTGAACGGATTTATCATAAGCAATGATTGTTTGGGGAGGCACTTTGACAGCAGGAATTCTTAGGACTAAGGCCTTTAGCCTCTGAGCTGTCTGAGGGAAGGGCTTGGAGAAACCGACCTTTAAAAGTAAAGGCTAAGGTTGTGCTCTGGTATTTTGGGCTGGCAGTTCTTGCCCGCAGTCTCTTTGCGGGAAAAGCCTTCTATGAGGACCCCAAGACAGTTACAGGATCCCATGTGAAAGAACACGTTCTAATAGTAGGAGCCCCAAAATGGTAATTATCGAGGCCCCAGCCTTCTGCTACACTGAAGACGCCTTCTTGAGGGCCAAAGAACCCATGCCGAGGCGCCGGGGCAGGCACTCCAGGCCCGGGCGAGCCACTTGAAATTGGAGATCAAACACTGAAAGCAACGGAAACGCGAACAACAGCTTGTGTTGGCTTGGCAAAGGGGTCTGCAAAGTTTTGGGCTACTTTCACATTTGCTCCTCATGAAAAGGGATGGTCGATGCTTACGGGGGTAAGTTGGTTGTGCTGTGTTTGCTTCAGGGCGGCCTGGTTTGAAGCTGATAAGCTGCATCCACGGATTGCCAGCAAACGCATAAGTTGATTCGTTGATCAAGTCCAGTGGCACCCCACCAAACATGTCAACCCAACAAAGGGTTCGGTTTTGCTACAAGTGGCTGCCAGGGTCATGAGTTTGTTGCAATCATCCCCTTCTACCTGCTTTTCTAGGTTGCGCCTCCGTCAACTTTCTACCGTTTTCATATTGGGCTGGCTGGGACAGGCATAAATGGTGTCGAAAAGGAAGACAGGTCCAGAAGCAAATCCAGAAGCTTGTTTCCAAACATGCCTGGACATTTGATCAAAACATTCGCTGGCTGGATAGCCTTTCATACCGCCCGATCTGACCAAAAGCAACAATAGGACCCCCGCGTTTTTGCAGGAATCAAGCCCCCTACCACCCTCCCTCCCAAATAGTGGGGATGCAAGATCATCGTGCGCATACTTCTTACCTACGTAGTGCAGATTCGCTGTATTCCAAGATGAGCTATTGCGTACTGATCCGCTTGACAATCATGCGGGACAACTAGACTCTGCAGAGCGGCGTGGAAAGGGTTCCACGGGTCCAGGCCTCAGAGCACCGACAAACGGCGCGGTAAACTACAAATCACTTGAAACTTATGCAAAGGCCGATGCTGGTTCGTTCACTTTCACATTGGGATGATTGTGCAGGTGCTTCAATTGCAGGTTTGGAACACTTCCGTACTCCGACACTTGGTAAGAGCAAGTCAATGACTTGAAGGTGTCAAGGGTGCAAAAGGGAGTTACCATGTCACTCATTCTGCGTGACCCTTTTTAGGTTTCGCTTGGCGGGGTCATCGGAAATGATCCACCCATCGAAAAGAACTGGCACATCTTGAGCAACGGGCCAGGTTCCGCCGCAGAACCCGCAGGCTGGGATAGGAAAGCTGGGTCGGGGGTCATTGTGGGTATGCTTCACTCCGAAGCTGTTAGCATGGCACTATTCGATTTCTCGTGATTTCTCCAGATTCTCAGCCTAAGCATGTTCAGCATAGTATGGCTGGGAGGCCTGTCCTTATTGCATTCGTTCACCAGGTTTCCAGTGCTATTTGAGCTCTCTTTGGTGAGATGCATTCGAAGGAAGAGACTGGGGACGGGTGGAATATATGATAGGTAAATGTGGCTGTACTTCCGTGTGAAACGCTTCCCCCCCGTCTGCTTTAAGTCCGGTCTAAAGCATGGCGCATGGCTGGAAGCACACTCGGAGGAAACTCGGGGGAGTTGTGGAAGTCTGATGAGAACAAGGCTTGTACGGGGGTTTGCTTGAGCGGATGCCTTCTGATAGCGAGTTCTTTGCGTCCCCCTTGCACAGAGCCTTGGTGAAAAGCTTTGCTGCAACATGCTTATTGATGCCTTCAAAGGTTGAGCATGCTGAGAGCCAATCCTGTTGGGAGGGCCGCCGTGACGAAGGCCATGTGTGTGTGTTTTTTTGTTAACTTGCCGATCCTCATGGTGTTGTTCCCTGTCCATCTACGTCACGTCAGGCGTCTGTTGGGCTGGGGTTTCGGAACTAATGCGAACCCCGGATTCATGAGCCTTGCAGATCGAAAAGGGGGTGCAATTCTCCAGCAACTCCCCGAAAAGTGAAGAATGCGCGGAACAATTCTTAGAATTACTTGGCGGCCCTGGCCAAATCTTCAAAAACGATTTTGCTTTGAAGAGTTGGTCAAGCTGAACCGCAGAACGGGACCTTCCTGTTCAGGCCGCGCTCTCTGTGGCGTTTACCGTGCGCTTTGAGACCACGGCTCCTCGCGTGAGATGGGATGGCGGACGGATGGGTTTGGTGGATGATCTTGCGTGGAAGCTGGCCACCCGCACCTCACGCGTCGCATGCGTGATGCGAGATCTTTGTTGCAGAGGTAGAGAATCCCTTTCTTGAGGAATCTCCCTGATACGTCCGCATAGTGGTGATATATTGTCCAAAATCAAGGGGCTCTTTGTTAGCATGATCGCCCTGCAAGCACGTGGGTAGCCAGCAAGCATGCCTGGAGCGTTGACCCTGCAAATGCGGTTTCTGCAGACTGCATGAGCCTCCTTGGCCTTGAAAGTCACATCCTTTGCATCCATGGCTTCTTTTTGTCCGCCCGGCTTCACCCATGGCTCTTGTCGTGCATTTGCTTTCATTCATAGTACAGGGCTGCGTCCTAACCCTGAGATGCGCATTTGTTGCAGAGCTTGCTACTCGGTACTCATGGCCTGCTTGGCCGCAGTTTGGAATCGCTGGCGTTCAGTGAAGTTGAAGAAACGTGGGCTTGCCCACATTGTGTGTGTGTGTGACAACCTGTATCGATGCCCTAGATTCCTTTCTGCCCAAGGTTGGAACCATCGACGTTGTTGCGCCTAGTCTGCAATTACTCGTCCGTGTCGTCGCTGATTCGGATCCCCACTTTTCTGGGAATTCACAGAATTTGTCAGGCAAGGGACAGCACAGAGTGCAGAATCGCTACGAAACCATACGCCAATTCATGAGCCAAGGGCCCAGGGTGGAAGAACCTGGGAGGCAGACATCAAAGCGCAAGGGAGTTGTGAGAAAGCCTAAGCCCAAAGGCACTGGTTTTCCTCAGGTGGGATATATGATCTGCGCTCCTCCAGGTTATTCCAGGTTGATGCTGCAATTCCCTCGCGAAACTCCGCTACAGGCAGTTAACGAAGCTCGTTGACACCAAGCTGAAGCCAATATCACTCTCAGCGCTGTTGTGTGTGCTGCTGTGTTGAAGATCGGGCAAGGGCATGTCAGGTTTGGTGTGTATGACTCTTCACCTCATGGAACTGTGTGGATGGCCTGGTTGAAAGGCAACAGGAAGCCCCTTCATGAGAGGTTTGGTGCTGCTGCGGTGCTAACCCCTTCACAGGACTAGCAAGACAAGAAGCAACTTACTGCTGGGTTGGCCGAGGTCCGACCAGACTGGGCGCCGCATGGCACCTTGCGGTTCCTGGAGCTGGCCAACGCAGGTGCGGCGCGAAGAGAGAGCCCCATGCTACGTTTTTAGGTTGTACCCCATGTGTTCAGCCGTGGCTAGCCTACGGCCGGATAAACTGGATGTCTTTGTTTTACTTGTGGGTAGTGAAGAACCCGCACGTGCTCAACGCTTGCTTTGCTCCTTCTTCAGGTGTCCTAAATGGGAAAAGTGATGCTCGTGTTTGTGGTGATGGGCTTCTCCGGTTAACCCCAACATGACGTTACCAGGTCTACGGGGTTGCCCTTGGCCGTGGTAAGTCATAGCGACAGGAATACCGCGAACAACACCACAGGGTACCTGCTGTGAGTGGGTTTTGCTGGGACAGCCGGCGTTCAAGAACCTCAGCAGTCAGCAATTCTCCCAAGGGAGGCACGCGCAACCCTACACTTTCGTACATCGAGGCTGACGAGGTAGCTGCGCCAATGTGCGATAAACCAGGAAGCTCAACGGCCCAACGGCTCAACCATGGCACCTTTGGTGAAACGCGCATGGAAGTGGCAAGGGCAGCTTTCCAGAAGCACACCAGTCTTGCAAATACTTCCCATCGGGGTCCAGTTTACCCGACCAACTCAATGCGAGCATGCTGTGTTTGGAGATCACCGATTTTTTGCGCAAAGAGAACTGGGAGGGGGAGAGCACCCTTGCTTTCCATCAGATTCCCGCGGGTCCCCCCCCCCAAAGACGGCAAATGAGTGCCGGCTTCATGACTTCCATTACCCATCATACAAGTTGAAGCACTTATGGGCTGTCGTCGTAGGTGACTTTGACGAGCGGGCCTTCTACCGTGCAGTGCCGGGCTGTGACTCGGCTTCTTTGTGATCAATGGGCTGAACCTGTCCATGTCTTCATTGTTTTTGGCTATTCACTTGGGTACGTTCCTTACTGGATACCTGCTAGAGGGTTTTACCCCTCCTCTTGCAAGCCTGTCAAAAGACTGGTGACTAGGGCTTATGATGCCATGGAGCCTTGAGCGAGACATTTTGCCGTATGACCCCCTTAACGAGCCATGACTGCTCCCAATATACAATGAGATCAATGGAGGCTTGCACGGAGTACCCGAGCTTCAAAGTCAGGCCGGGATTTGGAATTGAATGCGACATTCTGCAAAACGAGCACCTGACAATGTGACTGGTAGCCTGTTGCTCATGTGGAGAGGTCCTCAGGAGGCCTACCCAGTGCTCTCACAAAAATAGGGGAGTCTATCCAATTGAACCAACCGCAAGTCCTATGCCTGTGGCTCATCGAAAATGGCCTGCCTGGACCGCGCCTCCCTTTCGGTCCACTGCGCCAAGGCATCGTGCAGTTTGGCCTGCCTCCCAAGCGCGAGTTGCCTGCCATCCCGGACCGGGTGTTGCTCGCTTTGGCGAGCGCGTGCGAGCGGCGCACGGGTGTGTATGTGTGTGTGTGTGTGTCTGTAAGCAAGCAAGCAAGGCACTCCCCCAAGTCTTTAGAATGACAGGGCCTGCCCAACGACAGGAGAAGTGTCAACTTGGGAACTTGCAGAAGTGATACAACTTTTTGTTGCTCGTGCCGTATAGTAGATGAGCAAGAATGAGTCACGCCGAGCAGGGACACCAAAGGGGAGACGGAGATTCGTTGGGGCAAGATGGTCAATCATCACGCGGCTGCTATCTAACTAGCGGGTACGATCAGGTACGTATCATAGCAGTAGCCAAGACATTTTTGAACAAGGAGACCCAATTTCAAGCAAACACTTGATCTATAGTCTATGCTTGGATACCCCTGAGCCAGTTCAATTGGCACCACTTGGAGGCATGGTGTGCCATTGTAAATTGGGCACAACCTTGCCATGACGAGAGTCCGCGGAGGCAGGCCAGTACATACAGTCGTGAACGAAATGTTTGTGCTTTTGGCCAGCGGGCCCAGGATTTCAAGCCTTATTTGCGTGGCAAAGCACTCACATGACCGGCATCCTGTGCTGAAGGCTTGCTTGAGGCTCAGCTTTCAATTTCGGACAGGCACCGGCCACGTGGCCCAGGCACGGGTGTGCCGGAGAACCATCAGGCACATAGGTTTTGCCAGTGTTCAGCGCAAACAACAGTAGCTCCTTCAATCTCAAAAGGCGCAAACACCCGCACGAGCACACAACCGCAAACCCCTTGCACTTGAAGCAAGCGAAACACCACACTGGGTATCCTGTGCTAGATTTCAAGACACGGGTATGGTTTTGGATCTTGCACCTGATGCTGCATCAGTCTGGTTTTGTGATTGCCAATTAGCTCCAAAAGGAGAGCGGCGCGCTGTCGCGTGCTTGTGCGAGGATGATCCGCCCACAGGGGTGCCGTTTCTTCTGGGTGCCGTCGCCTTTGCGGCAGTTGGGGTCGGGCAGCTCAGAATACGCAGTTTTTGGGGTGTTGGAGGGTGGGACGGTTGATAAATTGTGGGCTTTCTCCCATTGCCAGTTTTCTTTTTTGACTTAGCCGTTCTGGCCCTGGGAACCGAGAGTCTTGCCTGACATTGGCTTGTGGACCGACAAAAGTGCAGGGACTGCGCAACCAAACTTTCGGCTGGAAGATGAGTTGTTGCTAAAGTTACCTGAGGGAACTCGAATTGCAAGCTGTTTTTGAATGAAGAATTGGCTGAGGTAACATGGTTAGCTTGGGAATCTCAGTGCAGCAGCCGGTGTTTTCAACAGCTCGGTGGTGCGGTGGTTGGCCTGACTGCTGTCCCACAGTCCCCATGCAAGCCTTTCATTTTGGTTTGTGTGGCCACTAGTTCTCCATTGTTATTTGTTGTTTTGTGGTTTCATGTTTGTTTGCTGCTTTTCCGGCAAAGGGCCAACGACCCAAAGCTGCTGCTGACACCAAAGGGTTTTGCTAATCGCCCTGTGAACTAGTTTCCTTATAAAATAAGTGCGGCGATCACAAGCAGTCGCTCCATAGCCAACACGCCTTTGTCAACGTGGCACTGGTATGTCAGGCAGGTTTATGACACATTGTCCGTGAAGGCTCCTGGTCACTCTCGTTTCCTCAGAGTAAAGGTTGCCCCTCATGATGAAAACTGTGTTTGCAACATCAACAGTCTCCAACCACATGTAAGTTTAATAATAGGCATAATAGGCCGACTTTAGAACAACACTATATACATTAGCGATTCCCTTCTCCAACCCTAACCACTACTAAACCAGCACTTTACCAATACTAAAAACTCAAGCAACACAAACCCAAAACGTGACACACCTACTCAGCAATTGTCGGATTGAACGACTCTTGGGCCAGGGAAGGGTGGGGCATCATTTGGACGAGCGGTTAAGAGGACCGACGAGCACACATGTCCAAACCAAACTCAGTCCCCCAAAGAATTAATAGTGAAGGTACGTTTTCCGCATTGCGTGCTCAAATTAGGGGAGGCGGGAGGGACCTGAACTATTTGGGGGCTTGATTCCTGACCATTTGGCCAGGATTTCATGTTAGGCCTCCCTTTCTGTAGAGACTGACTGAGCACTCCCGACCATTCTGTAAACATGTTTCTCAAGTCACGTGTTTGTTTTGGGAAAACATGGTCCAACACCCTCGAAAGGGGGTTGATAATGCCTGCGCGCTTGTTGTGTGATTCTGGTGGAAGGAAGGGCCATGAGGTGCGGCAATTGAAAGCAACATGCAGACGTATGTTGGACCACTTTGCCAGCATGTCATGGCAAGATACTTCCCAACGAGGCAACCCGCGCTTGCCTGACAGGCTACGTTGACATATTCGTAACCAGCGAGCAGTCACACCCCCACTTCATGGCACCGGCTCCGCTCGGCTGCACCAAGGAGAACACGCGGCGCTCGACCATCTTCATTTGCACAGGCCATGCGCCGGAGAGGGTCTTGCCTTGTTCCAGGCGCCTTACTCCAGTTGCAAAATCTTACACCCGGTTGTCCAATGGTACTGTAGCTGTACCGTTTGTCTCACTCACCTTTTAACCTTTTGGGTTTCCCATGTTGGTCCATTTGAAGTGAGGTCCCAAAAGGTTAACTTTTTATTATTCCCAGGTCCTTTGGCCAGTTGTTTGTTTCAAACCAGTCTAAGGACCATGTCATTTAGGCTTGAGGTGGGACTGGACTGCCATTGACCTTCGTATGACAAAGTGTTGAAGCCAGGAATAGGCTTCTACGCAAGAGGCCATGATCAAGACAGGGCATGTCATTACCTGAGGGGAGGAACTGCCAAACACCGCTGTGGCACCATAAGGCTGTGCCAAAGAAGATGGAAGCCTCAAATTGTGCCAGCTGACTTGCGCACCCGCCCAGTTATGTCATTCTACGTGGCATTTCGAATGCTATCGGAATCAAAGGCAAGTGGTGCAGCAAATATGTATACCAAACGGGCTGCGATGTTACTCTTCATGTTGGGCAGAAGTGTGCGAAGCCCGAAACAACAAACTTACCCATCAGATGCCACGGAAGCCATACGGAGCAGGCTGAACCCCATACTTTGCTGCTGAGTGCTTGCTGCACACTACCAATCGTGCCATCAAGAAATGGGCCAAGTAGACGTAGGTGATCACTGCAGAAATCACTGCTGAAGAAGAAGAAGCATTCTTGCACACTTAAGTTTAACCGAGGCCTTTGTTCGAAGCCAGCCATCCAAATGCACGTCAATCATGCAACTGTGGCACTTTCTCAAGTTTCATTCCATTGCGCGAAACGTCATCGGCAGCAACAGTCGAAATCTAGATGTGCCATAGTGTTGGCCTTAAACTCTTGAAAGCTGAGTGCTGTGAAAAAGGATTGGCATGTTGGATGAACCTTGCTGCGCTGCATGCATGTCCAACTAAGTGAGCAAAAGGAAGCATTGGCACATAGCCTACCAGTGATGCACGCCGCCATGCCAAAACTAGCCAAGAAGTTCAGTGAAAAACCAAAGCTCCTTTTAGACCAAATATTTGAATTCTCGTTTAGTTTGCACGGCCCCCAAGATCTGGAAGTGTCGTGTTGCTGCCTGCAGTTTTGATGGCAGAGTCCCCTTTAGAAATGGTTTGAAGGGTTACGCATGTCCTGCTGGGAAGCTATTCCCGGCCTGTTTGTTTCTGTTGCGGCTCCTCAGCTGCTGATGAGTAAAGGGCTGACCCGTCAAAATGTAGCTGGTGACAAAAGGACCAACTGCGAAATGATGAAATCTGCAATCGCTCGTTCGAACATCAGTGTTTGTTCTTTTCTGTTTTCCGGAGAACATGTTTTGCAGGTTCTATTTGCCAGGATTTTGGCTCTTAGTTTGCATGTGTGGGTCACCAGCGCCTTTTAGGCCCACGAATGGGGCTAGTGGATGTTATTCGCAAAGTTTGAAGGTGTCGCTTGCATGGAATAAAAAGCAGTTCCAGCCCTTCTGAAGCACTTGATCGTTGCATGTGTCTAAACTGTCCTCCACTGGCGGTTTTGCCGCTTTGCAACTCCAGGCGATATGTCCCACTGCCTTGGGAGACAGTCGTGGGAGACGCCCATCGGAGCTGTGGCCGAGTCCTCTCTGGAAGTCTTGGAGTCTTGGGCAGCGTTGGTTTCACCGTGATGAATGGTTGACGCTTGAATTACGAGAATACACACTTCGCCCCCAAGAGTTGCAGAGAGCTTCCGCAATCCACGTTCTTGTGACTAGAGCTAGGGACGAATAGAGATGGAAGGAAGGTCCACCACAGGAGTTCTTTCTTTATTTACGCGCAGATGCCAACAATCACAGAGACACACACACACGTACATTTTCTCACAGACACGCACAGTAACTTATGTAACATATGTTCCCAGCCCTCACATATTCTCTCTCATACGACACTCACGCCTGCGCCTACACCCAACCCAGCCCAACCCCACCCAACCCAGTCCAGCCCAATCCCCACCCTGTCCGCCCGTTTATGCTGTAATAGCCTCCAGAATAAACACTATTTAATCTCTTTCACTTACAGTCTTATTATCTTCTTATTTGTACCTGAGATTCTTCTCTTAGGCAAGTCCTGTCTTTCCAGGTTCTCTTTCTCTGTTCTTAGGATCATAAGCTGGTTATTTGTCTTTATGGAAATCCTATATCAGATAAGGAAAAAACGAAGAGCATTTTATTTCTAAATGAATTTCATGGATGTAGAGATCCCAGAGAAGAATGACGTAAGAAGTGAATTCTGGATCCATCATGATCTTTATTACTATTTGATTATGATTATGCAGCCTTGCATGCCGCCTTATCGCAGCCATGGGCCAAAGAGAACAGCTCGGAATGAAGAGTTCCCGGATAGTTGGCAACAGCGCTGGGAATCACCCCACATCAGGTAAGCAACCCAGAAAACCCAATGAGCCAATGTGTGCCCAATGAAATGTCATCAAGTATGCACGTGCTTCTGCCGGAAATTATTGCACGAGCAGCATGCTCCAAGCGCTGTTTTCCACACCTGCAGGATGTATGTCCAGGCGCACCCCTGAAACCAGAGAGCTCAGTATGCATGTCGTCACATTTGGTGGCTGAAAGCCATGACACAACTTTGCGTAGTTGAATGACTCAGACACAAACACGCACAAGTGCAAAGCTTCGCGCTTTGGAACTTGCAAGGTCTTGACATTGAGCATTGGTTGCAAGTCCATGCCCGAACAACCGGCAACAGCAAGCTGCAACTCAGATTTGCTTTGGAGAAGCCGCCTGTTTCTACATGCGGATGCCAGCGCCATGAGCGGGCTATGGCCTGGACGGTGCTGGCAGGCCAGGTCCTCTGGACTTGGTGAACCTGTTTGGAAGCGTAGGTGTGGAGGGTGCTAACTGCTGCCGGTTGTTGTGGTCAGAAACTTTCTTTGCCTTTGCAAATCCACCCAGGTATTAAGACTGAGGATCCTAGCGGGATCAAGCACGAAACGGGGTGAACAGGGTGGATGACCCCCGTCGATGCCAAACATTGCGGCAACCCAGAATCAGCTTGTGCCAAGGTCACCGGTCTAATGATCATGGGGCCTAAGACCTGCAGAGGTGCTGTCCCCCAATTAAGCTTCGGAAACGTGCTTCTAGTGACGCAGGCCCAATGAGAGGAATTACACGGCATTACTTCGGTTGGAATCAATTGGATGTAGTATTGCTTGCATCATCGCGTCTACACTCCCGAAGGCTGACATAGAAGCTCCCAGGAGGCCTTTGTACATGAAATCAAGTCTTCCAAAGGGGTCCTGGGAGCTTCCATGTTAATTAGCCTGGGGGAGAGTACCGAGTTGCTCTGAGTGTGCAACGCCAAACAAAAAGAGCATCTCTGACAACTAATTGCAGTTATTCAGGGCCGGATGGGCCAAGTTTGAGCTGGGAAGGGGTTGGGGATGGGGGTTCGAAGATCCGCTTCGATTCTTGGGTGTCCCAGTTGGTTGAGGCGTGCAAAGCAAGTAGCCGTCGCTTTGAGATACTCAGGACAGCGGCACAATTCCGCAAGAAGGTGAAACGAGCTTTGGGCCCCCCGTTTGATTGCCGCGCCGTTTCTCAAGGTTGAGTCCAGCTTTTTGTCAGGCCTGGGGTGTTTCTCCCAAATAAATGAGGCCCAGCCCTACAAAGACTAGCTAGTGGACAATTGCTAAGCCAGCATTCAGCTGCTTGCCGCCTTTTCATGTGCCAACCGAAGATTTACACCAGAATCAAGGAGTTTCCTTGCTTTTCCTGTGAAAGGCCACTGCGATGTTAGTTTAGCATATGGACACATGTGTTCAACAGATATTGGCAATACTAACAGGGCAGAATTAACCTTGCCGCCAGGCATGGAAGTGCACAGCAAGCCTTTCTTGTTTCAGAAGGGAATTGCCTTCCACAAGGTGTGCACCAAGCCATGTCTATTGGGACACGCGACGTCTGGCTGAAACCACGAAATCTCGCCCTGCCACTTTCTTGCATACCGATATTGGCACCAATGTTTACACATGTTTACATATGTAACCATGGTTAAAGTATGTTCACGAAGAAACGGCCGCCTTGCCTATTTACAGAATTTGTCTCCTGAACGTTTACCTCATTATTTACCCCAAACAAGCCATTTGTAGGTTTCACCAAATCAGCAGAAATGGGTCTGCCCTCTGCACTCGGTGCCTGAAGGCCTTGGCCTGGCAGAGGCGCTTTGCAGCTTCCCCCCGCCGCTGCCGCGCCTGGCAGGCGCGGTGGTTCTCGTCGTCTCCTGTGGGCGGTCCTTCGCTTTGGCTGGCGCGGGGTCCCGGGTCGGGGCAATTGGGGCGTTTTGGTGGTTGGGTGCTTGCGGTTTGGATTGGGCGCGCTTCTGGGAAGAGTTGTGTGTGTTTCAGTTTGGGCGCCGGCACCATTTTGGGGGCTGGTTGGTTGTTTCCCAGGGGTGCCAAAGCACAATCGCCCTATTTGGAGGGAGTTCGAGTTTTCTCAGCTTTGCAAGATGACAGTTCCTTTGGAAAGGGCGGGCTCTTGTGCACGTCCGTGCTTGTTGGTGGGACGGTGCTGGAGGCCACTCACTCTAGATGAGTCTTTCCGAGAGAGGAGCGGAGGGGGGGCGGGATTCGGGGAGCAGAGTCAAATCTTGGCAGGCCAACGGACCGCAAGCATCTTGAGCCATGTTCGAAGATCTTTAAATGGTTTCCCCTTTGTCAGGTTCCATTGGTTGCGAGTGCCAGGCTGGAGTTGCGTTTTAGATTTGTGCAAAAGGCCCCTCGGGTGTTTTGAAAGGTTCGGGCCCCGGGAGAGGCCAGTGTAAGTTTCCGCATGTTACTGGATGGCAGCCTTTTGATTTTACACGCACTCTTCACCCTTTGGGCGAATTGAAATAAAATTCCCTTTAAGTGAGATGATGCTGAAGACTGCAGATAGTGGGAGCTCTGTCTTTTTGTTCCTCTTTTGCAAATGTCCAGTTTGTGACCTTCATGTTGGCTGGGGGTGGCAGTGGATGATGCCCAGGCGTGCTGGGATACTGGTGCTGGTGCAGTTTTCTGAGTTGCGGGCGGGCATGCTGCTTGTGTTGCTGAGTTGCTGGTGCAGGTGCTGATTCTGATACTTGATGTTGTGTTTTGTTTCGGGCGTTTCGTTTCACGCTTGTGCCCAAAGGGAACTTTGAATTGTTGAGCCAATGGAGCTTCCGCCAGTTGCCGTCCCGGGGTTTCTTAGGGAAACTCTGGGCATGGAAACGCTAGAGGCGACTCATCCCAAAGCTGCCAGGTGACCTTCCGGCGCGGCTGGACAGGGCTGTCAGCAGCAGGGGGCCCCGAGGGGAAGCTTTGCCCAAGGGTCTACCAGTCTAACAATTGTCAGCGACTATGGGGAAAGGCACCCTGGTTGATGCATTTATTTCCGCATCATGATGTTGCGTTGGCTAGACTGCAGTTTGTTGGGGTTTGTTGCTTGAGTTTGAGCCTGCCAGCAGTTGGTCCCAAGTTGTGTCTCTATTTGGTTTGAGTGTCAAGCCCTCTTGCGTGAGCGCCACAAAACTCAGCAAACAAACCCCAACAATCTGCAAGAGGTAAGAGGTGTTTGGCAGCGGGTAGGAGCAGTTTGTGACAGTGTCATTCCCTAAAAAAGAGAGTGTTTTCTGCTTTCTCTGGCTTCCTTTGAAACAAGCGCCAACACAAATATTCAATCACAGTATTTGGACCACGCATTGCAATATGGCTTGGCGAAGTTGCCATCCTTTCAGGCTGAAGTTTCTTGCCTGGTTTGGACAAACATGCCGGATTGCGCAGACTATGAGAGGCAGACAGGCAGGCAGGCAGGGCAAGCAGGCAGGCAGGCAGGCAGCAACGCATGCATGTACATACAGGCAGACAGGCAAGCAGGTAGACAGAGCAAACAGGCAGGTAGGCAGACAGGCATACAGGCATACAGCCACACAGGCAAAGGGGCATACTTGCGTACATACATGGATGAATGCATGTATGTATGTATGTATGTGGGGGTTGATCAAAATGTCCTTGCAAGGAATCATGTATTCGGTGACCATTCGTCTTGGCTTAAATCCCTCCGCGAAAGATCGGTGATGGAGTTCGCGAAAGAAGCTTATTTTATCGCGAAAGATTCCGCGTTGGATTCTTGGAGGCATGCCTGCGGACTTACATATTTGCAGACCCCGCTCCCTTGTAGATAGGGAGATACGCAGCACCTACACTTGCATTGTTGATTCCCTGCCTGTGTTGGGAATGGTGCAAATCAATAACGTTGGCTGGGCTATTTTGGAGCAAGTTTCGCGAAAGGCCAGGGAGCTTGTTGCAAGGTTCCGCACATCGCCGGCAAGCGCAAGTGGCAAGGGCGAATGACGGTGACTGCTTGCACTTGACACTACGTACTGCACGCAAGTGAACTGCGGCTACCGTGTTTGCAAGCATAACTGCAGCAGCTACAGTTTCTCCAGAGCGCACGCTGCAAACAAAAGGGCGTGGCGATGGAGCCGCGAAAGATTCGCGAAAGACTTTGTTTCTCGCGAAGATGGCGTTTTCCGGAAACAAGAATATTGATCAACTGCCATGTATGTATGTATGTATGTATGTGTGTTTACATGCATGTACACCTGCAGTTGCCCATGC